CAAAAAGCTAACACTGTGCTCTGACAGCATCCTGTTACTAACTGCTTTACTGCCAATATCTGCTTTCCCTGAGACCCACATCCCAAAGCTATGTGACTGATAATGTCCTGGTACTGACTGTCAGTGTTTGCTTTCCCAAGGCAGCATTTCAAAGACAAGTGACAATGACTGATTTAATGCGGACATCTGCACTTCAAGGCCATCGGACCAGCCTCAATAGTACCTACATCTGCATTTGAAGGCCAGAGGACCAACAACACAAACTTCCAAAACTGTTTCTTAGCGCCCAAACCAAAACTCCCTAAAACTATTTTTCAATGCCCTGTTAACCTGAACTCCCCAATTAACCTAAACTCAGGTATAGGCTGGTGGTTACTCTCTATAGAGCCAGCCACCTCCCCCACTTCTTTTCTTTTCTTTAATAAACCTTTTTAACCACCAGCAGCTCGTCTCTTCCTTCTTGGCATACGTTACAACACACAAATTAAAAAGCACACATTAAAAAATATTTAGTGGGAGTTCAAGTAGAGAAGAGAATGAAAGGACAAACTGAGAGCAGGAAGCCATTTTTTAATCATGTTCCTAAACCCTAACGCAATGATGAGAAAGTAGAAGCTATGTTCTGGAGAAATGTATACTCTAAGTAAAGATTAACTTTGTCAACTTTGTCTTTTCATAAACACAGACCCCTCAAGCATGACTGGTACCAGACTATTATAATTTGTCTTTTTAGAAACCCAGATTTCTCAAGCACAACCTGTATGAGCCCATTGTATAACTTCCTGAGGGTGATGAGATCCATGACTCAGTACCTGGTGACTGGAACTCCCCTCAGGGTCTCCGAGACACCCACAAGTGATCAACAAGGAAGTCATGGCAGTCACGTCTATCTGGTTGCAATATCTCCAGGGGAAAGGATTTAAGCCAGGGCTCGGGAGGGGCTACAGGGCCACACTCATCTAGAGAGGTGCCCCACTTCCTGTCTGTGAGAAGTGATCTCTTTCTTAAATAAATCTTTTCTTTTCTCCTCTTTGTGTGTTGCAAATCTTTGCATTACTCGAATCTCTGGTTGCCAGCGCATACCTCCACATTCATCCACCCTTACCCTCTGAACCCTCACAGAGAAGAGGAGTGAAGAACAGAAATAAATAGAATAAAATTAGGTAAATAGGAATAGAGCATTGTACAGACCAATAATAATAATACGACGTGAACTGAGGAGTATAATCGGCACAATTCTCTGCACCTGAGGTCTGAAAAAGAATGAAAGTCAGAACAAAAAAGATTTAGATAGAAGTGCAAAGGTCTAAGAATAGCCAAAACACTCTAAAAAAGATAAATGTGATAGGGGACTTACCCCACCAAATATAAAGACTTAAAAAAAAAAAAACTAAAGTAATTAAGATAGTGTGGTATTGACCAAGAATAGATAAACAGAAAAATGAAACAGAATAGAGAACCCAGAAATGGAAATGTACAGACATTTGTTTTATGACAAAGATGTCAGTGCAGGTCAGTGGAGGAAAGGACAATCTTTTCCATAAATGGTGCTGAGATAATTGGGTATCCAAGTGGGGAGAGGAAAAAAAAAGAAGAAATTAAGCCGGGCTCGGTGGCTCAGTCTGTAATCTCAGCACTATGGGAGGCTGAGGTGAGTGGATTGCCTGAGCCCGTGGGTTTGAGATCTGCCTGGGCAACTTGGCGAGACCACATCTCTACAATAAACCAAAAATTAGCCAGGCATGGTAGCGTGCACCTATAGTTGCAGCTACTTTGAAGGCTGATGTGGAAGGATCGCAGGAGCCCAGCAGGTCGAGGCTGCAGAGGCCAGGAGCAGCCACTACACTCCAGTCTGGGTGACAGAGTGAGACTCCAACTCCAAAAAAAAAAAAAAAACAGGAAGAAGAAATTGAACTCCTACCTCATAGCATAACAAAAAATCAGTTTGGGGTAGATTTAAGACCTAAAGATAAAAGGAAAAACTACAAATTTAAAAAAAAAAAACTTTAGAAAAGACACCACAGAAGACTGTCTTCATAACTTTAAGGTAGGAAAGGAATCTTAAACATGTCAAAGAGAGAATTAACCATTAACAAATACTACTATATCAAAGCTAAGAATTTCTGTTCACCAAAAGATATCCAAGACGGTGAAAAGATCAGTCTAAACTGGAAGAACAAATTTACAACACACAAATAATATAAGAATTCATATCTAAAAATTACAAAGAACTCTTATGAATCAAAAAGAAAAAGATGTATAAATCAACAGAAAAACAGTCCAAAAACTGGATTTTATAGAAGAGGAAGCACAAATGACTTCAAAACATAATTGTGATGGTTAATTTTACATGCCAGTTCAAAGAGGTTTACCAATTTGTCTAGATTAGTAAGAGTAGAGCTGGGCTGTGAGATGCCTATGCAACTTTGCAGAAAACTGGATGTAATTTCTTTATATATATATTATTTTAAAGATGTGGGGTACAATTCAGGATTAGTTACACAAATGGACATTGTACAGGTAAAGTTTGGGCCTCCCTTTGGTCCCCACTTTGCCCGGTTAAGGTAAATATTTTATAACTATATTAAAAAGCTCTCTTAACTCCCCCCCCCAAAAAAATTTACATGCTAACTTGGAGGGTGTTTTTGGAGTAAGGTTAATTTTAACATTTAAATCAGTGAAGTTTAAGTATCAGTTGAACGCATGAATAGAACAACAATCTGGCCTCCTTTAGAAAGAGGGAATTCTCCAGCAGACAGCCTTTGGACTTCATCTGCACCATCAGCCTTCCTGGGTCTACAGCCTGCAGGCCCACAAAGCAGATTTTGGACTTGCAGCCTCCATGGTCACACATGCTAATACCTTATAATAAATCTCAATCTATGTGTATACACATCGTATTGGTTCTGTTTCTCTAAAGAACCCTGACTTATACACACACTAAAAGGTGTTCAACTTCATTAGTAATCAGGAAAGTTAAAATCAAAACTCCTAGACTGGTACAATGACTCACGCCTTAATTCTAGAATTTTGGGAAGCTGAAGAAAGAGGATAGCTGGAGCCCAGACGTTTGCGATCAGCCTGGGCAAAATGGAGATATCTCACATGTCTACAAAAAAAAAAAAAAAAAAATCAAAGAATTAGCTGGGCCGGGCTCGGTGGCTCAGCCTGTAATCCCACGCCTTGGGAGGCTGAGGTGAGTGGATTGCCTGGGCCCGCCGGTTCGAGACCTGCCTGGGCAACTTGGCGAGACCTCATCTCTACAATAAATCAAAAAATCAGCCGGGCGTGGTAGAGCGTGCCTGTAATTCCGGCTACTCGGAAGGCTGAGGTGGAAGGATCACCGGAGCTCAGCAGGTCGAGGCTGCGGTGGCTGGGAGCGGCCACTGCACTCCAGTCTGGGCAACAGAGTGAGACTCCAACTCAAAAAAAAAAAAAAAGAATTAGCTGGGTATGGTGGCGTGCACCTGTAGTCCCAGCCACTTGGAAGGCTGAGGAAGAAGGAATGCTTGAGCCTAGCAGGTCGAGCTGGGGTAGCTGTGACAGTGCTAATGCACTCCAGCCTGGGCAAAAGAGTGAGACTTCAACTAAAAAAAAAAAAAAAAAGGGAAAAAAAGCCTCAATAAAGCCCAATGAGTTTTATTTAATAATGATCAACAAAACTGTCAAAGACTAATACTAAACACTGGTGGGAATTTATAAGATATTCTATACCCTGCTGATGAGAGTGTAAATTAATACAACCACTTTGGAAAACAGTTTAGTATTCCTTCCTAGACGTTTTCCTACTAAGAACATGCCTTTTTAAAAAATCAGGTATATGAGCACCAGGTAACATATCAAGATCATATATGGCAGTATTCTTTGAAATAATTAAAAACTAGAAACATCCAAGCCGGGTGCGGTGGCTCAAGCCTGTAATCCCAAAACTTCGGGAGGCGGAGGTGAGAGGATTGCCTGAGCTCAGGGGTTCAAGACCAGCCTGAGCAACATAGCGAGACCTCGTCTCTACAATAAATCAAAAAAGTAGCCGGGTGTGGTGGCGCATGCCTGTGGTTCCAGTTACCTGGAAGGCTAAAGCGGAAGGATCGTCTGTGCCCAGCAGGTCGAGGCTGCGGTGGCCCTGAGCAGCGTGCTACTGCACTCCAGCCTGGGTGACAGAGTGAGACTCCAACTCAAAAAAAAAACAAAAAACAAAACTAGAAACATCCAAATGTCCATCAACAGAAAAACAAATAAATGAGTTACGATTCATTCATCCAATAAAATACCATATCTCAGTGAAAATAAATTAATTACTACTACCTATATTATATGGGTGAATCTCAAAAACAGAGTTCAGTGTAAGAAGAAAGTACTGATGAATTTTTAATATATGATTCCTTTATGTTGCACTAAAAAATGAGCAAAAGTAATTAATACATTTGGAGATGTATAAACAGGAAGCAAAAAGTATAAAGAAATGAAGGGAATAATTAGTATAAAATTTAGGATAACATAACTGCTGGTTGAAAGGAAGAAGGAAGGAAGAAGAGAAGGGCACATAATGGGGCTTGGGAATGGTAATATTCTCTTTCTTGCCTGAGTAATGGGTATATGTTTACTGCATTGTTGAAAAATATATGCATACGTACTATTTTGCTTCTATATTATATTTCATACCCACAAAAACTACTTTCCCCTGAAAGAATCTATAAAAAAAAATATTAACGTTGTTTGCATCTAAGAATATTTTTAAAAAGAAAATTTTTCTGATTCACTGTTATAAACTAGAAAATATATCTGATAATTGTTATAAATCTATCCCATTCAAAGTTTAAACAATACATAAGTTCTTGGCTTTTACCTTGCTACAAAAAAGTTGTAGGTATTCTGGAAGTCAGCATTCTTTAGGATAACTTTTTGATAAATATAAAAAGAAAAAAGGAGGCACACTTCTCCCATGAGCTGCCTTTATGCCCTAGGTGGGATGGGAATCATGACATCCTTGGACTGCTCACCTGATACTTAGGTCATAGCTCCCGCTTAGGAGAAAGTTTTCCTCCTCACACAAGAAGAGGGCCCGGATACTCCCAGCATGGCCTCGGAACTCGATGGGTATCTCTTTTAATTGTATGATGTCCAGAAGCTGGATCTTTCGATTAGATGACACAGCTATCAAATCTCCCCCAGAATAGTGTATGACTCTGTTTTGGTTCCACCTGAGTTACCAAGGGAAAAGGATTATTCATGAAAGAAGAGTTAGCACTCTTATGAAACATAATACCATGACTTTTGCCCACAGTAGTGGTTTAATGGGAAATTCAGGGCCTTTCAACAAGGGAGACAGCAGAAGGCAAGGCTGAGTACTAATAAGTCCTGAAGGATCCCTACCCTCATACTATGTCAAAAATTCATTTCAGATAGATTTAAAACCTAAAGACACAAGGCAAAATTATTTTTTTTAATTCTGCTAAATGTATGCTAAATCCCCAAGAAACCCAACAGAGTATGTGGTGTTTCCCAAATTAATTTGATCATGAAAACATTTTGTCATGGAAAACTTCAGAAGAACACAGTTTGGAAGCCCTGTCACACTGTATTTCTCTTCCTTATTTTTTTTTTTTTCCTTAACCAATATCCAATGAGTATATATTAGGTTCCAAGTTCTGTGATATTGGGTACCATGGGCAATACAAAAATGAGTAAGATAAGGATATTGCTCACAGTGAGTTTATAGTCCAATAAAGCCAGGAGATTTGAATTAAGTTTCCAATCATAGGATTATCAGCAAGTAGGTAAAATATGAACAGGATGACCAACTAACTTATTTTCCAAACTGAGACTTTTTCACTGTGAAAGGAGATACTATTATTAATTACATGAGGGCCATAGAGTAAAGTGGGATTGTTCCAACAAACAGGAATGTATAGTCACTCTAATCATGAGGAGAAATTCTTGATATTTTTGTTCGTTTGTCATATCTAGAGTTCAATCAGTCACCATCTCTTCTAAAGAGTAGTTATTACCATATTACTCATAAAAACTCAATTTTGCCATTTCCCTATCTGCTCTGTCTCCCCAATACTGACCTATTCTCAAGATACAATTTGTTAATAAGATTTATGGTCAAAAATAAAGTAGAGATCCCCTTTGTAAAGTTTTGCAAATAAAGAGTGAAGTCCTAGGCCTAAAGTATAACAGAAAGTTCATTATTAAAGAGGTTTTTTTTAAATGGCATATTGAAATGATGTCATACTCTGCAATTATTATAAACACAATTTTCATATTTACCGTGGAAATACATCCACAGTACTTTGCCGGACTGGATTGCAAAAACATGTGTACTATAGCTCTATTTCTATTTAAAGTATGTGCTGTGTATACAAAGAAAAGATTCTAGAAGAATAGACATCAATATTAACAGTGGCAAGATTATAGGAGATCTTAGCTTTTCTCTATACATTTTTTGGCATTTGGAGGAATTATTTTTCCAATAAGTATATATAACTTCTAAAATTAAAATAACATAAAAAAGACATTTCAAAAATAAAGATTTAGGCCAGGCACAGTGGCTCACACCTATAATCCCAGCATTTTGGGAGGCCAAGATGAGAAGATTGCCTAAGCCCATAGGTTCGAGACCAGCCTGGACAATTTGGTGAGACCTTATCTCTACAATAAATCAAAAAATTAGCCAGGCACGGTGGTGTATACTTGTAGTTCCAGCTACTTGGAAGGCTGAGGTGGAAGGATTGCCAGAGCCCAGCAGGTCGAGGCTGGGGTGGTGTGAGTGTGCCACTGCACTCCAGCCTGGGCAACAGAGTGAGACTCCAAATCAAAAAAAAAATTACAAAAATAAAGATTTCATGCAAGCAACTTGTACAAAAAGTTGTTGGTCAGTATACCCAAAAGTAATAAAGGGAAATTGTCCTCTATGTGCTGCAGAGAATGATACAAAATCAAGCACTGATTGTTCACTCAGGATCACTTGCAAGTTTGGGGCTGGAGCTTGAGGTGAGGAGAGGCTTGCCTTTCCAAGTAAACAAGGGTCAGGGAAATCCTAAGTGCCAGTGTGGGTAATTCAAGGGTCCCTGAAGACCTCATTTCTGACCCCAGTACCTACTTGTCAGAGAGAATGCGAACATTGTAGGTTCCACAGAAAACATTTCTCTCCTCCATCAAGACCTGTTGAGTTTCCTGGTTCTGGTATGCAGACCACAGGCTGTATTCATTCTAACAAGGGAATACTTGGAGTCAAAGTATGGCAGCAGCTTTACCCACAGTCCCAGAACCCCTGGAGTCTTCACAGCAAGGGCACAAGGGCCCGTGAATTCTTCCTCTGAAGGCTGAGGTTGCTGGTCTGTGGTGAGCGGGAGGGGCCGGTGAGCAGGCACCAAAGTAATTCATGAGTTAGAAAATGTTGAGTCAAGGGTCCTGATTCTCCATTCACCTCTTTGTATTTTCTGTGTGCTCTGATTCCATAAACTTTCGAGGCTGAACTCCAAATGTTGCTGACAGCACAACTTTTCCAAAAAATGACTTCACAAGGGGTGTGCTCACACAATAAAGTCACAGATGCCCTTTGACTGGCAATTTCACACGTATACTAAATGTACCTGATAGTACAAAGCACACTCATGGGAACTTAAGCAATATGTGAAATTACTGCTACACACTCTGCATTTGCACTTCAAAGTTTTCATACATCTGCAACCTTCATTTGTCCTTGCAACTATCTCACAAACTAGTAGGTCACTTGACCCACAAAGTGTTCTTATTGCACAGACGAGGTATCTGGGACTCAGGGAGGGGAAATATGTTTTATCAAATCTCAACAGGGGTATTTTCTCTCATATTCTAACCTTTCCTCCCATCCTTCCTTCTTCCCTCCCTCCTTTCCTCCCTTACTCCATCACACACTGTCTGAGCAGTTTCAGGCATGCTCAACTCTGGCATAGATTACTGAACTGGACTTCCAGTCCCACTCTTCTTCCTAGCCATACTCCACCCTCAAATAACAGAAAATAACAGTCACGCTAGGTTAGCAGGGGAAAAAAAGCCAAGTAGGTTTATCATGAAAGCAAAGAAGTCCACAGTATCATGTTTGCATCTGAGAGTCCTCCTTGGGACATCTCTGAAGTCTCCTTCCAAATTTTAGCCGTCTCCTCCATGCCTTTAAGCTCTCCCTCAGATGCCCTTTTTCCTCTGTGCTCATTCTCCTTCCTAGTCTTTAAATTAGTAGTGATGCCCACCAAGAAGTCTCTCCCCAGAAGAATCTGCCAATCTGTGTCCCCTACAGTGTCCAAGCAGCATTCCATATCCTGGCTTAAATCAAAAGAGGTTTCCCTGAATTTTCCCAGTCTAGTTGGGACTTCCTTGGCCCTTGTTCATCTCCCAAGTTTTGTGTATGCTAGATGCCTCATGATGGAGTCATTGGATGGGAAAAGATCTGGGTTCAAATCCCAGCTCTGCCTCTGACCCATTATGAGAACTTGAACAAGTTTCCTAACATCATAGCCTTCATTTCCACATCCATAAACTTGGAACCTCCTTGACCTGTGGTGAAAGTCAAGTAAATGATGTATGCAAAGCTGTCAGCACTGTGCCTGGAGTAGTGTCTGTGCTCATTGCCACTACCACCCCAGAACACTCACCTCTACCTTTTCCTAGGGGACCCCACAACTGCTTCATCTTGCTATCTCACAGGCTCTCCTCTAGTCCTCAGACTGCTTTACCTGTTTCCTCTTCCTTTTCTTAAATTATATTCTTAGAATGCCAAACACTGTATAGGTAATCATTTTTGTTGGGCCATTACTAACTACATCACCCAAGGAAGAAAGGTTCTCATTTTGTTATACTTAAAAGAGCGACAGACTTGGAAAAAATAAGTCTGCATTGAAATCGTACCTCTGTCACTCAACTGGCTGGGAGACCCTGACCTCTCTGAACCTCAATTTTTTTATTCTTTAAAATAGGTGAATGGACTGGCTCTGAGACAATGACAGATCAAATGAGATCCACAAATGTGTTTTCTTTGGTCCATGCAGTTTTAAATAAATGCTTTTAAGTAGCTGCCATCATTTAAGAAAAGCAAGCAATTTCACATGATAGTTCAGATTTCTATCTTCTCTTGAAGGCTCAGATGGTCTGGCAGGCCAGGACCCATAGTCTCCCAAAACAATAAATAACTGGAGCTGAGTAGCAATTGGCCCTTCAGATAAGAGTGAACTCTCCAGTTCATCACAGCCCCATCTTCCTCTACTGCCCACAGTGCCCACTTCCTCCTTTGTGTGACCTGTCTGGCCCCTATAGATAAATGAGCTAGATGGTCTCTATGGACGCTCAGATTCTAACTTTATACCACACAGCCTCCTTATGGGAAGCTACAGTCAGAACACCTTTTATTTAGTATCCTTTTTGGACCAATTGAATAAACTTTGAACTAGAGGACCTTGAGCAGAGAGGAGGGGGTTGAAATCTAATGAGTTTAGGAATAACTACCATGCATGGATAGCCAAAGCATAGAGCTCAAGGAGTCTTCCAATTACTCTTCTTCATTATTGTCCAAGAACTGGTAGGGAGTTAATTAACTACTCTCTTCTTCTTCCTCTAGGAAGAATGAACTTGAAAGTGAGAGATGAGGAAGCTGAATTCATCTAGACCCTGAACATTGTGGACCGGCCTGGTCCTCCCCTCATGCCCTTCTCATTCCTGAGCAGCAAACTCATATAGCCTCCAGACCCAAGGACTAACAGAGTTGAGGAAAGACCCAGCAATGGCTGACATCACTCCTGGTCTCTGAACTTTAAATAAGTTGGCACTGCGGACACAGAACATGGTCATGGGTTTTGATGTAAGAAAGAACCCTGAGAGGACAACTTAAATCCACTCAACAAATAAGGAAAGCAAGGCTTAAGAAGATGAAATGATTTGTAAGTTGGTAGCAACACAGAAGAGCACTGGTCTCACTTAGGGAATGTTACCTGCCACAATCCTCTGTCCTTACTTAAGGGCCAAGACTGGACTTCAGTCTTCAATAGCCAATAAGACCATGACACAGCAATTTGCCCCAGATGCCACCGGAACCCACCTTTGTTCTCAGCTTCCATTTCTGATTTTTCACACGCATGCGCTTCCCGTCATCTACCATTTTAGGAACTGGGACAGAAAGTCTGCTGGCATAATTAGGTTCTATTCCCCTTGTGTAGGATCCCTGGAAAAACAAAACAAAGCAAAAAATAGAAAATGACTACTCTTGGTCCCAATACTCCAGGAAAGAAGAAAAACTAGTTCTTGGCTAAATCTGAAAGATAGGTAAGCCATAGCTTAGGAAGGAAGGCCCAGACCTTGTCAGTTATGTCAACAGTGCCTACAGACTGAATTGAGAAGGATAATGAACACCAGATTCCTGAAGCAGGACCAGCAAGAGATGGTCAGCAGTTTCCAGACTACGGCATCACATCCCTGCTTCTTCTCATCCTCTGTCATCTATCTGTTCTAGGAAAACAATTTAAGCTACCAAGAACTCATGGTTTAGAGTGAAGCTTCTGGAAAGAAACTGAGACATGAAAATGCTGGAGATGATTACTATCAGGGGAAAATTGCATTTTAACCTAAAAATATACTTTGCAGCTCTGTAAACTTCTGTGCACCATAAGAAGCTGATACAGAAACAAACTTATGACTTTTTTATTGCATAAGCTGCAATATAACTCCAGGAGGTGGTTGGGGGAGGGATTCCTCAGTTTGTAAGGTTTGGGAAAGGATCTGCCTCTCTGCTCCTGAGAGGTTTCTATACATGTCTCTGCTGGATGCACTAGCAGTGGGAGAGTACATGGTGATCACCAAGAGTCCAGACCAAAAGAAAGGGTCTGCTAAAGCCTAAGAGGTTGCAAATGTGGAGAGGAGGCCAGCTGAGGGTCTACCAGGGAGACTGAAAGGTTCATGGTCAGTCAATCTCAACACAGAAATGAGGTTGGTCCCTAGCCATTCCCCTCTCAAACAGGAAGTACCTGCAGGATGGTAATCTGGTTCTGAATGAAGGAATGTGTTGACAATTCCATTTTGACCTGCTGAGCCAAGGCAGCCCAGTGCCCGCTCACGGAGGCACACCTATTCAGGGTGTTTCTATCCAACATTCCTGGGAAAAAAAAAAAAAAGATGGACCCAGAAACTCCAGAACTGAGCCAAAATGGGAGTTGTCTGAGAAATCCCATAATACACCCAGCATACTTAGAATGTACTTGGAGAGGTGGATGGGCAGGTGACGGATGAAGTCTCGGTATTTGCTGAACCCAGAAGACAGGTCTCTGACGTCATCCAAATCAACCAACAAATTGCAGGGATCGTACCCTGGCTTGGTTATGCCTACTTTCCCAGAAAACAGCTTATTCATCTCGGAAATACACTGACGCGAACTCCTCCATTGTGCCTCTAGATTGTAACCAGAGAAAGAGAAAAGTACATGGTTGAGTTGTCTCTGTAGTAACTCCAGGCTTCAAACAAGTCCTCACCAAAAGCTCTCCCCCAAAATAAAGCTCATCAGAGTCCACTCTTAGGCCACTGGATTTTTTGTCATCTCTTCTGCCACATAAGAATAGAACCCCTTGATCCAAACATACACACACTTTTCAGCCTTCTCAGCTCAAAGAGATGTCTGTAGTACCAAAGTCTGAAGTGGCATCATGTCTCAATTTTCCTTCAAAATATCCCAGCAAGAAAATGGTTTTAACAACTTTTAAAGTGGGAGGGGGAGATGAATGAAATAAGACTGGTAAAATATCGATAACTGTTGAAGCTGAGAAAGGGTCATGTGGGTGGTTATTATACTGTTCTATCTGCTTTTGAAATTTGAAATGTTCCATGTAAAAAGAATCTATGCTTTGTGCTTCCTATGATATTTCCTGTGAAATCATGTTTCCAATGATATTTCATGTATATGCCTTGCTTCAAAACCCAACTTAGGAAGGAAGGCCCAGAACTGGCCAGTGACTTGAGGTCAGGAAACAAATTCCCCATTGCTTTTGTTCTCCCCTCAAAACAATCCAATACTGCAAAAATAGCCACTGTGGGTTGAATTCTAGAGCAGCCTACCTTGCTAGGACTCGGGCTAGATGAATGATTGTGGCCTAAGCAGAGGGAGACGTCAAAGGAAGCACCTGATAGATTTTTGTTTGTTTGTTTGAGACAGAGTCTCCCTCTGTTGCCCAGGCTGAAGTGCAATGGCACAATCATAGCTTACTGCAGCCCTGAACTCCTGGGATTAAGCAATCCTCCCACCCCAGTTTCCTGAGCTGCTGGGACTACAGGCACTTGTCACCGTGCCTAGCTAATTTTTTTTTTTAATTTGTATAGAGACAGGGTCTTACTGTGTTGCCTCAAACTCCAGGCCTCAAACAATCCTCCTGCCTCAGTCTCCCAAAGTGCTAGGCTTACAGGCATGAGCCACTGTGCCCAGATGATAATTTTCCTTCTGATCTCTATTTTTCAGGTATCTCTTGTAGGCACCATGGTAAAGAGGTGAAAACATGGGTTTGGGGGTCATACTGACCAATTTAAAATCTTGCTTCTCCCCTTACCAGCTGTGAGCATTAGATGAGGAAATAAATATCAAAGAGCACACATTTTAGGTGCCAAATGCATGTTATTTCCTAAAATCCTCCATCCCCAGATGCTATTGCCCCACCAGCCCTTTCAACTCCACTGGGATTTCCCAATCACATGCATATTGGCTTCTTGCTAAAAGCTGGCTTACCAGGGTTAGATACTGCCCTCTGCACATTTTCATTTTCTGGGCTTTTGGACAAAGGAAAGGATGTGCTCTGAGTTCTGGCTGCCCAATAGAAATGTGAAGTCTCAGACTTGGAGTTGTAATGTTTCTCAGGGGAAAAACACACATGAGTGGCATCTTGATTGAGTCCTGAAAAATAAAAAAACCAAGACAATGCTTCTCTAAAGAGCAGGTGCACGGTGGAAAATGGAGTGGAGATAAATGGTTTTGTTTTTGCTTCCAGGGCAGTTATGTCTGTTTTTATTTGGGGCCTCTGAGTTTCTATGCAAAACTCTCAGAATGCCTCCTGTTAAACTTTGCCGGCCCTCCTCCAATGCAAAATTTATATACCAGTACAAAGAGAGAGAAAGAAAAGTCATGGACAGGAGCTGCAAGAAGGATTGCTTTTCAGAAGCTCAAGCTGAATTTTCTTCTGCAAAAGAAATAACTGCCCTTGAGTCAAATTAGAAAATTTAACTTTTTAAAAGAGACTCTCCCCTAGGAAAAAAAGAAGGTTGATAAACCTGTAACAGAACTTATACAAATCCAATATAAATAGCCCATCCTTATGGTGCACAATGAAGCCTTTAAAAGAGAACCACAGAACACTGCACATGTGTATACACACCTGGGCCTCCCCTGCTGGGAGTACTATTCCATGGAAGAGACTCGGGAGGGAGTCCCTGTTTTCACCTCACTTGCTAGGTGACCTAAACCAAGTCATTCAGATTCCCTGGACTTTGGACTCCTTATCTATACAGTTAAGGAATTGGACTGGCTGATCACAGATCTAACTTGTGGTTTTTGACACCCTAGGATTCAATAATTTTTTCACCATGTATTCATTTTATATAATAATTCTTTTATATCCCTGACACACCAAAGAAATCAAGTGACATATACCACAATCTAGTTACCTCCTAGATCATCCAGCTTTAAATTTCTTTTGGATTCCATCAGTCTACAAACACAACCACGATTTAAGGTCTCATCGTTGATAAGAATTACACACCTTTAAGAGCTCAAACTCCAAACTCCTCCATGTGCCCATTCCCTCTCAGCCTTCTCCCATCCCCCTATGTTTCTCCACACCAGACCTCCCACTTCCAGACCCCTCCTAATCTCAAGTCTTTTGCCTCCCTCTGGTTTCCTTCTCTTCCCCAAACCAGCTGGCCAAAGCTTCCAAGATTCTCTCACTAACACCTTAGACCAGTGGTTCTCAAAGTGAGGTCCCCAAACTGGCAACATTGGCATCAGCTGGAAACTTGTTAGAAATACAGAATCCCAGGCCTCTCCTCAGACCTGCTGAATCAGAAATTCTAAGGGAAGAGCTTGTTTTAACGGGCCCTTCTGGAGATCCTGATATATGCTACAGTTTGAAAACTACCTACCACCCTAGACGTATTTGGCCCTTTAACTATCTCCAGCCTCACAGAAACTACTTCAAGATTTGATTTCATTTGTAAGCAAGGAATATAGTAGAATGAATTAAAAAAAAAAAAAAAAAAACCCTAAGGTTTGACTTCTTGGCCTGGTTTCTGTGCAGGGCAGTTTGAAGAGCAAAACAATTTAGCAGCTTCCTTCCACCCTCCCCTTCCTCCCCTCACATCCTTCTCAAGCCCAGTCCAATCCCTACTGCAGGAATGACACCAGCATGAAGTGGTCAGAGGCGACAACCAACCATTTCTGGGCTTCAGGGATGCAGAAATTCATTTTAAATGCCCAACAGTTAAAAGTTCTGTACTTCCTCCTGCATTTATCATTTTACAATTTTCTAGAAGGAAGTAACACTCAGCAATTTCTCCTTTGGTAAACAGTATTGGGTATCAGGACAAAGTGCCATTTCAAAGAATCCTCTGCTGCATTCTGTGCAATCCCTGTGTCTACCTAAGTTTGTCTACAGCTGCAGTTCCTTACAAACTCCCGAAGTCTTGCTTTCTGGTATTTGGGGACCTTCTGGTCTCTACCTGTGGCCCTGTTTACCTGAGATATTGCTCTGCTCTCTCAGAAACAGGGCTCTGATTACATTGGCAGCAGTGAGCAGTAACTTGGGGTCACACATCTGCAGCAGCAAGAGAGTGTAATTTGCCTTAGTCCAGTGCGTGCTGTTCCCAAACCAGTACAAGATCTCCTTCATCTTCTGTTCTACCGTTTTATCCAACATTTGGTTCAAGGAGGACTTCGTAATTCTCCCCTCCTTCTTGCTGAGGTTGATCCGGGACCTGTTATAGATGAAATCCTTGCCCTGTGTGGTCTGAAGTATATTTTGGAAATAGTGTAACAGATTTAAACTATTTAACTGCTCCAGAATGCTTACTAGAAACCTCCTCTGGGATATCTCGCTGACCCTCCGGAACCACTCTTTGGTAGAGAAGATCTTCCAGGCTAAGACACACGTCTCACACTTCTGGCACACAGGGACTGAATCATTTCCCTTCTCACAACGAAAATAGGGGGCATTCTTGAGTCTTGATTCCAGGTTTTCCATGATCCTGAGATAACCAGCTCATTTCAGGCTTGCCCATGTGCAACGCCACCAAACACCAGAGGAAACAGATAAATACCCCAACAGAACCTTTTCTATTATAAACATCTCCCAAAGCAAGAGTAAACGGCTGCCATGAATGGAAAGCTCTCCCAGAGTGTCTCATCCAGAAACTGCCAGTAGAAGTCTGGCTTTTTGTACTGACCTCCTTGGGAACACGGCCTTACCGTAAATCTCCTAAACCTGGCGCTACTTATGTGGAGGCAGTTGCTGTATATTCTGAAAGAGCTGGTCATCCCGTTTCTAGAACAATAATAAATATTGTCAGTCAAATTTAAGTCATATGTGAACCCCTCTTAAAGAAAAAAGATATGGCGAAGCCTGGTGTTGAGCTTCAATTGTCGTTGTTATTAATGACTTTTAAATATCCATGAATATAAAATAAGCTGTAAACATCTGATGTTTACACCTTTTTCAGTTGCAAAGTGGCTATCATAATGATCCTGAATATGTTTATGGTCATTTTCTTAAGTCGTCATTATCAAAGTAAAGAAAGAAGTATTTAATATAAATTTGAGTTCCTTAACTACTTCAGAATGCTAATCAGAAATCTCACGCCTGTCAAAGTGTCCATGCAAACTTTGAGCAGTCCAAAAAGGAGACAATTCTCCTATTTCAGACAAGACTAGGTTCAAACAATGACTCTGGTATTTAGGAGCTATATGATCTTGAACAAGTTACTTGGTCTGTCTGAGCTTCAGTGTAACCAGTGTACTTATAAGGATGGAGAAGATCAAGGCAGATAATAAAAATTACAGCTACCTTCTAGGGTTAGATAAAATGTATGCAATTGTTTTCTGTTGCTATTATTATTACCCTACATTAAAAACAAAATGTTTGCAATACTGTATGCATTTCTAGTGCCCATGTAAAAAGACCACACACAACTGGAGAAAGGCCATGGAGTCCATGGCTGGGAGCTGGTTGATTCCCATACCAGCACAGGGGTCAGGGATGGAAATCAGGTTAGGAATGGGATCAGTTGTAACAGTTCAACCTTTCTGTCTGAAGTGCCATCTGGAGAAAAGACTAGAGAGGACTAACATCGAATTCATCAGGAGGGCCAGACAAAGGAGAAAGGAGGTCTGAAGCAGACATTTTGAATATATTAGAGGGGGACATATTACTCCAGAAGGGCTACAAGCTAAGAGTAGCTTGATTTTAAAGGTTCAACTAAATCCAGGTTTTCATCTGAGAGTCTGATATACCTCAAGGAAGAGGTTTTACCCACCCAACTCAATATTTATTCCATGTTTGAGGGTTGACTGTGGCCCAATAGAGGGGCACAAACGTAGAAATCAGAGACGGACTAGCTAGAATCTCATTGCTGGCTGCTTCTTACTAGTTCTATGGCCCTGGACAAGCTACTCAATCCTCTCTGACCATTTCCTGGTCTGTAGAAGACACATGATAATCCCTACCCTGCAGGATGTTGTAGTGTGAGGATGACATTCATTAATACAGATGATTGTGGTGGTTACTGCTGCTCCCTCTCTATCCCTCTTAGCACCACTACACACACACACGTGCACACGTACACACACATACACACACGTGCATACACATGCACACATGGCATCTCATCTGGCTGCTCAGCAGCACCCAATAGACTGGGTTTGCTTTCCATCTCCTTCCCCACAGCACATACCCATACACACACAGTTCTCCTCAAACATCTGGGGATCATAGCACTGTGTGCCGTCACCACTGTTGGCACCTCCTTTTCTAAATAGCCTCTTGGAGAATATGACAAGGGGCCACCTCCAGAGAACAGAGGGACAAGGAATACTCCAGAGCGAGTGAGTACAAGAAGGAAGCTCCTTGCTGCCTTCCTTCCCACTTCTTGCTGACCTGCACCTTGTGGCAGGTCGGACCATGCACCTGGCTTTGGCAGGAAGTTGGAGCCATTTGGGTTCTGGTGTTAGAGTTGAGAATGTGACTTCTGTGGAGGACAGGACAAGATGGTCAGATGGGAGAGACCAAGGGTGGGGACATGGCACTGGTGTTATCCAAAGAGGCAGGCAGGCAACCAGATCATGTCAAAATGAAGAATAAGCCGGGCTCAGTGGCTCCGCCTCTAATCCCAGCACTTTGGGAGGCTGAGGCAAGTGGATTACCTGAGCCCATGGCTTCAAGACCAGCCCGGGTAACTTGGCGAGACGTCGTCTCTACAATAAATGAAAAATTAGCTGGGCGTGGTAACATGCACCTGTAGTTCTGGCTACTTGGAAGCCTGAGGTGGAAGGATGCCGGAGCCCAGAAGGGCTAAAAAAGGGGGACATATTACCCCCGTGACAAGAGCCCGTGAGTATGCCACTGCACCCCAGTCTAGGCAACAGAGTGAGACTCCAACTCAAAAAAAAAAATGAGGAATAGCAGTTCAGTGGAGGAAAGCATTTCTCAGAGGAAGGATCTGGGCATAAGAAGTACATCTGGAGATCTCACAGATATCCAGGCAATGAGCAACCTGAAGTCTTCGTGTCAGAAAGGAAAGTTCCTTTCTGCCCTGTTTTGTATTGTTTTATTCATGATCCTGGTTACATACCCTCATCACACTGCCCCAAATCTCCACTTGCTTTTCCTACCCTCCTACATGATAGGGAGAATCCCAGGAGGTGCAGTCCAACACTGCACCAGAGGACCTGAGCCTCTGCCAGCCCCAGTCTAGGCCCTCTGCTCCCCTCCTCCCCCCGACAGCTACCTGCCCTGGTCAGCCAGCAGGGACTTAGAAAAGAGTACAAGTTTCAGAGTAGGAGGAGAAGGAATTAAGCCAGGCTCTGCCACAGTGCAGCCTTAGATCCTGGATAATTCACTTGCGGCTCTCAGTCTACTCCCCTTCCATAAAACAGATACCACAATTCCTCCTAGCTCTCAGGTGGCTGTCAGGCCAACTGAATGGATTCTTACCCCGTGTGAGGAATTAACAAGTATTGTTAGTAACATTAGGGAACATGGAGAAACCATGATGTCTCATCCATCAACTTCTCATCATATGGTATTTTACACTTCTTGATAAAAGTTAAATTTTAAAAAGTCTTTACTCATGAGAAATCAATGCATGTGCACACATACACACACCTTTTTCTAGGTAATCATCAGGGTCACTACTTAGGTTATTAATTTGGAGGAAAGGATTTTCATCTCAAATGACTGACCGCTGCTATATTGACCCTCAGTCCTTGTGAAGTAACCCGTTCTCCCTTTTCTTTTCCAGTACCTAGCCTTCTTCCTTCTGGCAGACAGTGGGATTTTTTTTCAGTAAGACTACAGAAATAGAGATGAAAACTAGATATACCCCAGCAAAGCAGGAATGACCCGCACTCAATCTGAGCCATATACAGCCTGTGTCCTGCATGTGGATATTGATATGATAAAACAGACCTCCTGCAAGGGCCTCCTGCTCAGCCACCAAGATGTCTAATCACAGGTGCAGAGTGAAGGAGTTGGTGATGAAATCTAAGGGAGCTAGGAAAAGCAGGAAATGTACACACCACCTTTCCTTCCACCTTTTGTCTGTGGCTAAAGGGGCTGGTGGCCCCAGAAATGGAGGCAGTGGTTATAGAGATGGGAAGCAACCAGGGAATGGGTCAGTAAAGGACACAATGCAGAAGTTAGTCCCTAAAGATAGCCTGAGAAAATGAAGCAGTATGCCAGGACATGGAAAAGAGAAATGTAGCTGGGCTCAGTGGCTCAGCCTGTAATCCCGCCCCTTTGGGAGGCTGAGGTGAGTGAATTGCCTGAGCCCGCGGGTTCAAGACCCACCTGGGCAGCGAGACCTCATCTCTACAATAAATCAAAAAATCAGCCAGGCGTGGTAGCGCATGCCTGTAATTCCGGCTACTCGGAAGGCTGAGATGAAAGGATTGCCGGAACCCAACAGGCAAGGCTGCGGTGGCCAGGAGCGGCCACTGCACTCCAGTCTGGGCGATAGAGTGAGACTCCAACTCAAAAAAAAAAGAGAACTGTTTCATATATCACCTTATCTATAATTGTCCTGAACAGTAAATTCCCATCTAGCTGTTCACATATGAGAAGTTTTCATTTCAATTTATATCATTTTCTTGTGATCAAAAGACACACCTAGTTATCCTCTGGGATGCTCTTTTTTTTTTTGAGTCGGAGTCTCACTCTGTCACCCAGGCCAGAGTGCAGTGGCACTCTCACAGCCACCGCAGCCTCGACCTACTGGGCTCAGATGATCCTTCCACCTCAGCCTTCCAAGCAGCTGGAACTTCAGACAGGCACCACCAAGCCCAGCTAATTTTTTGATTCATTGTAGAGACAAGGTCTTGCCATGTTGCTCAGGCTGGTCTTGAACCCTGAACTCAGGCAATCCTCTCTCCTCTGCCTCCCCGAGATTATAAGCATGAGTCACTGCGCCTGGCCAAGGAATGCTCTATCTTAGATCTAGAACAGAGACTTGCACATTATAAATACCACATACCCGAGGAAGCGAGGAGGGGGAGCAGGGACCAGGATTTATTTATTTAAAAATTGTGTATTTCAACTTCGGTCACCTTCAAAGTACTCGCCATTGGATGCAATACACCTATCAAGATGCTTTTTCCTCTGCTCATAATAGTTTTTGAACTCATCAACTTTGATGCCTTTTAGTGCTTCTGCTGTTTTTTGTTTTACCTCTTCTACATTGGCAAAACGTTTCCCTTTGAAATGTTTCTCATCCACAGGGAAAAAAAATTTTTAAAGTCACTGGGGGCGAGATTGGGTGTATAGGGAGTGTGGGGCATGAGGGTCACGCCATCTTTGGTCAAAAACTGCTAAACACTCATCGTGGTGTGGGCAGGTGCACTTGTAAACCACCCATCATTAAATGAGCAAACGTGTTAAAAGATCTCAAAAAAAAAAAAAATTCACTGAGGTGGAATGCAGCCTCCCACAACAACACTAGCTGGTACACTGATACCAGTGGGTTCCTAGAGCACTTACCTGGTGGGGGAAGCCTGTATTACAATGAGCCGGCCCTCCAAAAGATAATTCTGGGTTTCGGGGGGCGTCCCCCTTGTATGTTGATTGAGTTGATTTGGGGGCCATCATTCCAAAAACATGCTGACGCAGGTTAAAGAAACAAGGACTCCGTGACTGGGCCAATATTGGCATCTCATGATTGCATCATGAATCTTGGAAGAATGTGGGAATTTACTCAGAACTCATAAGATTCTCAAAAGAGAATGCCATATTCACTTGGATTTCAAAAAAATTGAGACAAAAATAAATTACAAGGCCACCTCATCTCTACAAAAATAAAAATAAAAAAATTAACCTGGCGTGGTAGCGTGTGCCTATAGTCCTAGCAACTGAGAGGCCGAGGTAGAAGGCTCACTTGAGCCCAGAAGGTTGAGGCTGCAGTGAGCTGTGATTGTGCCGCTGCACTCCTGCCTGGGTGACAGAGTGTCCAACTCAAAAAAAAAAAAAATAGAACAAATTACGTAGTGGCTAAAATTACATTCTTATTCTGCAATCACAAATGATCTAGTAATGGAACAAAACAATCTGGCACCAAAGTGAGTTCTAGATTAGTTCAGGTTTTTATTTTTGCTTTTTTAAATAAGTTTACATAATGGAAGTAGTGATAAGGGTGGGTAAATAAAAAAGACTGGCATATACTTACACAGCTAGGAGAAATGCCAGAGACCGTAAAATAGACCTTTGATCTCTTCTCTCCTTTATTTTTTTTTAATTTGTTATAGGCAATTTTCAATTTTCAGAGCAAGAAAAAAGATATGCCCATTGCTTGAGGCAACGACAGAAAAAGAAATGCCCAACTCTTAATTTTGCTCTAATCTTTTATATCAAAAAGAAAGGTCCTGAATTTGAAAACTAGTATACAAAAAGAGCTAACAGAAAAATGAAGTTCAAGATAGGTAAAGAAATATCTAAATGAATCCTTTTATATGAGCTCAAGTATACTGGCCTAAATAAATTACATCTCAGGACTCTGACATAATTTACTGACGTGACTGCAAATCAGGTGGAAATCTTTAAGGAACTAGGGAGAATGGTAGAGGATGGTGTCTAGTCCTTTTGTGTTGTTATACAGGAATAACCAAGGCTCATAAGATTTGTAAAGAAAAAAAGTTTATTTGGCTTAAGGTTCTGCAGGCTGTACAAGAAGCATAATATCAGAATCTGCTTCTGGTGAGAGCTTCAGGCTGCTTCCACTCATGGCAAAAGGGGAAGGGAAGCAGGTATCACATGGTGACAAGCCAGGCTCTTCTTAACAATCAGTTCTCGAGAGAGCTAATAGAGTGAGAATTCACTCATTATCTCCAGAAGCACCAAGCCACTCATGAGAGATTCCTCCATGATCTAACACCTCCCACTGGGCCCCACCTCCAACAATGGGGATCAAATTTTAACATGAGACTCAGAGGGGATAAATATCCAAACTATATCAGATGGGCACAAGTCAAGTTGTCTTGATTTTTTTTCTTAAAGAAAAATAAGATAGACTCTGAAAAAATAGACTAGTGAACTTGACCCACAGCAGAATTCTAAAATGATTTGTCACATATTTTGTGAGTATTTGGAGAAGGAAGTGACAAGCACCAACCACCCACAGGAGTTCAACGAAAACAAGACAGGCCAAGTTGATCTTATTTTCTCTTTTGAGAACCTTATTAGACAAGCAGATCAAAGCAATTCAGAGATAGCAGATCTTGGCTTCTGCCACTGAAAGCATTCCTCACATCCAGGGTATAAAGCTGTAAAAGGTAGGGGTTCCATTATATATATATATATATATGTATATATATATATATATATGTATATATATATATATACATAGTTATATATCTATATAGATATAGATATATAACTAAACCTATATATATATATATCTATATCTATATATAGATATAGATATATAACTAAACCTAGAAGCTATCAACTAAGTGCTACAAGATTCTGGTTAGGCCTTACCCACATCAACATATTTATCAACAAGGTTAAGACTTAATTAAAATTGAGAAAGTTGACTGAAAAAAAATAAAATTAACAAAATTAAGATTAAAAAAGACTTAAGAAGAAAGGGTTACCAATTCTATAGGCGACACTAGCTAGGAAAGAGCTAATACACTGGGTGAAGAATCATGGATCTAAACTATCTCATGCAGCAATGATGTGATAAAATTAAAGTAAAAACTTTTAAAATCCTATACTGTCTACAGCCTTAGAAACAAATATAGGACAAAGTCTCTGGAAACAAGTCAAGCAATGCTAAAGTGATATACTCTTGAGATAGGACTATCGAACTGATTGAAGAAGAGATTTGTCTTGACAAAGGTCACAGGAAAAGACCTAAACATCATATTATTTCTAGTGAATCTCACCAAAGGCTTTGAGTTATGGCCTCAGAAATCCATTTAAGTAGTTTATCATTTGTTTAAGACTTGATGAATATTTACTATTCATATCTTAGGGAACTGATCTGTCAAGAGGAGAATGAAATAATTGAGGGAAAGTCCTGGGAGCCACAAAAGAAAGTGAGAATCTTAGCATGAAAACAAGAATACAGGACAAGACGACTATCCCCAACTTGAAGAACTATTGAATGGAAAATCAGACAAGTCCACATAGCCTAGCTATCTTTAGAGAAGAGTGAGACCCCTTCCCAGAGGTCACAGGGACTAAAACTCAGACTCCACTAAAACATTTCTTCTCATCCTTGATGTCCAAAACCAGAATAAGCCACTGTGTAGAGGTAGTAAGCCAGCACATGGCAGGATGGCTGAGTCAGACACAGTGTGTGCAAAGGAATCAACAAACTCTAAGAGGTGGGTTTAAGGAGCTCTATTTCTCTGCTACGCAGCTTATTCCCTTATGCACAATGTTCACAATCTAATGAAGAAGGCAATACAGTGTGGTGATTAAAAATCCATGACAGTCAACCTGGATTTGAATCTCAGATCTGCCACTAATTCACCATGTCACCAGTGACCTTGAGCAAGTTAGCTTGCCACCTTAGCCCATAGGGGTGGTCCTGGAAAATGGGAATGATATAAGCATCTACCCTATGGTTTGACTGTAAGGATTAAGTGAGTTTATGCACGGGAAGCCCTCGAAACAGGGTCTGGCACATAGGAAATACACAATAAAGTTAGCAATTTATTATGACTACTTTTTAATCTTTTCAGTCACTCTGAAGATTCCTGGTTATCACTTCTGGGCACAGTGTGGCATTCACCTAAATAGACAGGAGAATACCACAAGAAGATGACGAGGGAGACTTTGGTGCCTCGGAATTACTATAAACATCCCAAGAGCAGCTCTGTATGAAGCAAATGAGAGCAGCCAGAGAACCTTCTCCTCTTCATAGACCCACATGGTTTCCAAAGCCAGCCACCACTGTCAGATATCTCTGCGCCCAAGTCACTCTTAAAATTCAAGCTGCTGCCCCATCACTATGGTTAGCAAAGATCTGGCCTATGGGTCCTGGAGTCTAAGGAGCGGCCTCCACTGAGGATGGTGCTGGCCTCTCTGGTTCCTCTCCTAGGTCCAAAATCCGGATGGTGTTTTCCTTCTTGGAAAGCCAGAAGGCAGCGTAGACTGGCTCTGAAAACTTGCAGTCAAACTTGTGAATCAGAGTCATGGCATCATACTCCACACCATAGAAGGAAAGTGTCCCTCTTGGGAAGTCAACATAGATCCCGAGCCTCCGGAAAGGGCCGGCTTTGAGCGGGGTCTCCGTGTCACTGTGCCAGGCCGTGAACTCCTTCCCATTCCATTGGAGGCTCCAGGAGAAGTTGTTTCCGGAAATGCAACTGTTGCGCTCCTCCCCTTTCCTGTCGATGCCTTTGCAGGTCAGGCCAACGTAGGTGCCCGCTCCGGAGATCTCTATCTCAAAATAGTATCTGTGCAGATACAGGCTCTGTTGGGACAGCACCTGCCGCCAGTGCACGAACCTGCTGGGAAGGTCGGGGTAGGGATGCTCCCAGGGCGTGGTGTTGGTGACCTTGCGGTTGTCCTCCTGCAGCCGGAGATACCTGTGTGCAGTGTCTGGGTCAAACGTGACATCATGTGCATCTGAGGAGATAAAGTAGTTCAGAACTGACAGACAATTCAGACAGAACATGTTAAACCCAGCTTGCCTCCAAAGCATGGATGAGAAAACATCCTCCCCCCTGATCTCTCTTTACTCAGTCTGCTGTTCCCCTAGGAAAAGAGGCAAGTGACTATTCACAATAGCAAAAACATGGAACCAACCGTGCTGCCCATCGAAACTGAACTGGATAAAGAAAATGTGGTACATATACACAATGGAATATTATGCAGCCATAAAGAGGGATGAACATATGGATTTTGCACCAACTTGGATGAATTTAGAGTCTATCATACTCAGTGATCTATCACAGAAACAAAGAACAGAGTACCATATGTTCTCACTCATAAGCAGACCTTGAACAATTGTCACAATACTGTAAGAAAGGGATTGACAGTAGTGGGAAACTGCCAGGGGAGAGGGGGCACACCTCATCAACAAGGGTACCTGCATAATGAATATTTGTATACTTAACCCTGAATTGCACCCCACATCTTTAAAATTAAAAAATTGTTTTAAATTAATAAATAAAAGTTTTGAGGTGAGTGGGTTGCCTGAGCCCGCGGGTTTGAGACCCACCTGGGCAATTTGGCGAGACCTCATCTCTACAATAAATCAAAAATTAGCTGGGTGTGGTAGCGCACGCCTGCAGTTCCAGCTACTTGGAAGACTGAGGCGGAAGGATCACTGGAACCCAGCAGGTCGAGGCTGAGGTGGCCGGGAGCAGCCACTCCACTCCAGTCTGGGTGACAGAGTGAGACTCCAACTCAAAAATAAATAAAGACCAGAAAACAGAAAACACAAGTCACTCTACTGCCTTCCTTTCTGAAACTCAAATTGCTTGACATTTACTGTATTATTTGGCGAACTGAATTAAGAAATAAATTAATTTACTCATTCATTCACTTAATATATATTGAAACCTTGACATCATTCTACCCAGTGCTGGCAAGGGTTTGAGGAAGTAGGTATTTATATACCCACATTTGATCCATTCATTAATTTTTTTAAAAATTGCCGGGCTCGGTGGCTCAGTCTGTAATCCCGCACCTTTGGGAGGCTGAGGTGAGTGGATTGCCTGAGCCCGCGGATTCGAGACCTGCCTGGGCAGCGAGACCTCATCTCTACAATAAGTCAAAAAATCAGCCGGGCGTGGTGGCGCACGCCTGTAGTTCCGGCTACTTGGAAGGCTGAGGCGGAAGGATCCCCGGAGCCCAGCAGGTCGAGGCTGCGGTGGCCAGGAGCAGCCACTGCACTCCAGTCTGGGGGGCAGAGTGAGACTCCAACTCGAAAAAAAACAAAAAAAATTGACCAATATTTAGCATGATGAACTCTCAAACACGTCCTCATATTGTCTTCTGGATCCTAGAGAATAATGGCATCTCCACGCACTCACTAGCTCAATTCAAATTCAAAGTCGTTTCTGACATTTCTTTTACCCTCATCCTCACATCCTATGACTCCCCCACCACACACACACACACACACACACACACACACACACACACACACACACACACATACAGGCAGCAGCAAGTCCTGTAGATGCTACCACTTCTCTCCAGCCCCTCTGCTTCAACTCCCACCTAAGCCACTACCCAATCTTGCCTGGACTAACACAATAGGCTTCTGACTGGTCATGTTGCTCTCTTACCCCCCGGCTCCCCACCTCCACGTGAAAACTCCTCCACAACAGAGCCATATGCTTGTTTTAAGGTTTTGCCCACCTTAAAACCCATGGATGATTCTCCTTGCTCTTAGGATAAAGCAGTGACCCCTCACCCTGGCCTGCAAGCCTCTGCATGACTGTGCCTCCTACTCTCTCTCTCTTGATTACCACATTCCAGTCACCCTGACCTCAGATCTACTCAACACTCAGCCCACTTTGGGGCTTCAGCACAGACGGCTCCCTCCGTGATGTGACTGTTGCCCTACTCTGAGTCTAGGGGATTCCTACTGATCCTCTCGGGTTTTGGCTAAAGATTCATATCCTCAAAGAATTCCCCTATGACTTCTAAATTAATTTCTCTCAGGGTGTCCTGGCTTTTTAAACATCATGGGACTCACCATTTGTAATAATATATTCATGTGCGTGTTTGTTTCATTTGTAATAATATATTCATGTGCGTGTTTGTTTCATGCTTGTCCCCCTATCAGCTCCACATTTTGCATGGGACTCTTCTAGTTAGAGAAGATGCTCAGTATATACTTGCCAAATGAATGAGCATATTAAAGGCTATTTTTTAAATCCTATAACTTAAAAAGTTCTCTTGGTTTAACCCAGAGTTGTACACGCTTCTTTGTGTCCAGCTAATAGAAATTCTTAGTGGTCAACAAGAACACATCCTGTAAAGGAAAGACATACATCTAACAAGTTAACAGGAAAAATGAAGCATATAGTTTACAACTGTGTAACTGAAAGTGGCCCAGCAGTACAGTGGCAACCCTTTTGCTCACAACAAACTTTTGACAATTCTTAGCATCTAGATTTGGAACAACAATATTCTTTTCACCTAACAAGACCCAGTACTTTTTGAAGGGTAGGTGATGCTATGTCTTGGAACAAGGAAATAAGAACGGGTCTGGAACATTCTGTTAGTAATATTTTTAAGAATGTCAAAGACAGAATATACCCATGCTTCAAGAAGAGGCCAGCTTGAAAGTAGATCACACTGGTCAAGTGAGAATTCTGAGCCACAGAATTTTGAACTTTCCTTTGAATAAAAAAATCATGTGGATGCCAATAGAGCCTATGAAAAAAACAGGAGCTGTGGCAAGAACAGGAGATGGTTATCAGAACCTGAGGACCCACATAATAACCAAAGGCAAAGGTGGTCCAAGAGTGGGTTACCAGTCAGCCAGTGGTCACCCCGGAAAACAAACAGAAGCAGGATTCAATGGCATGTTCCAAAAAGATGTCATAAAAATGATCGGTGACGACAGATACAATCTTTCCTCTACTAGGAGATGAAACCTCATGGTTTGTTGACTACAGTGAAGTATGTTTTTAATTTAATTCTTTTCTTTGACAAATAAAATTATATATATTTTATAGGTGTACAGCATGACGTTTTGAAATACACATGCAGTATGGAATGGCTAAATTAGGCTAAAATTAATATATGCATTACCTCACACACTTTCATGGTGAGAACATTTAAAACCTACTCTGTTAGCAATTTTCAAATCCATGTTGCACAATAGGTTTCTTGAACTTATAAGTATTGATTAGAATTACAACCATGGCTTGAACTGTATGGGTCCACTTACATGTAGATTTTCTTCTGTCTCTGCCACCCCAAGGCAGCAAGACCAACCCCTTCTTTTCAGCCCACTCAACTTGAAGACAACAAGGATGAAGACCTTTACAATTACCCACTTCCACTTATGGATAGTAAATATATTTTCTCTTCCTTATAATTTTCTTAATGGCATTTTCTTTTTTTTTTTTTTTTTTTTGAGTTAGAGTCTCTCTCTGTCGCCCAGACTGGAGTGCAATGGCTGCTCCCGGCCACCGCAGCCTCGACCTGCTGGGCTCTGGCGATCCTTCCACCTCAGCCTTCCAAGTAGCTGAAACTACAGGTGCGCACTGCCACGCCTGGCTGATTTTTGATTTATTGTAGAGATGAGGTCTCACCAAGTTGCCCAGGCAGGTCTCGAACCCGCAGGCTCAGGCAATCCACTCACCTCAGCCTCCCAAAGCGCAGGATTACAGGCTGAGCCACCGAGCCCAGCTTTTAATGGCATTTTCTTTTCCCCAGTTTACTTTATTATAAGAATACTGTATATAATACATACAATACAATATATAGTATTATTACATATATATGCAGTATAAAATAAGAGATCTTATAAATAATATAATATATACTGTATACATGTGCTAACTATCATGTTGATAGAGCTTTCAGTCAACAGCAGGCTATTAGTAGTTAAGTTTTTGAGGAGTAAAAAGCTACATGTGGATTTTTGACTGCATGAGTGAGGGATTGGTGCCCCTAACCCCCAAGGGTCAACTATACAGTGCTTTTTAAAAATGCTAACATACCAAATCAATACCAATAATGACAAGACAATGAGTTATGCAATTCTGGCGAAGTCAGACATAAAAATGATTCATTTGGTATAACTAGCCAAGAATTCTTCAAAGTGCCAAGGTCACGAAAGACAAAGATTGAGGGACTGACCCAGGTAGAGGGAGCTAAGGCGACATGGAAACATCTGTGATCCTGGATTGGATTTGGGGCCAGAAAAAAAGTCTAGTGGAACAATTGATAAAATCTGAATAAATGCTGTTGATTAGTTAATAGCATTGTATCAATATTAATTTCTTGATTTTGATCAATGTTACTGTCATTGGGAATAGTACTAAAATTTGGAGAAGTTGAGTGAAAGGGTATAGGGGAATTCTTTGTCCTATTTTTGCAATATTTTTGTGAGTTTTAAATTACTTCAAAATGAAATGGTTTTTTAAATTTTTTTAATTAAACATTTTAAAGTATATCATTTAGGGGTAGACATGAGGTTGCAAAAAACAGAAACCTATATGAAAGATGCAGTTCTTGCTTCCACAAAGCATTACACTGATATCAACAACTGGGGAAGGGAAAACTGCTCACAACTTACATTGGAGGAACTGTTCCCGGGTGCTGGGCTCAGGCTTTGAAGTCCAGTGTTTGCGCTGAACAATGGCAGATACTTGAGTTCTGATGTCATACTCCTCTAGAAAGTCAGAGAGTTGTGAATGCATACCTGTTCAGGTGGTCAGGAGAATCTGAGAAGCAGGACCTCCCAGTCACCCTTTCCTGGACGTCCTGTGGCAAGAAGGGGCTGGAGCCTAGCAATAACTCAGAGAAGCATGCTTAACGGACCACATTTCTCTCATGGATAAGGCAAAATCCACTGAAAGAGATCCCGGACTGCCTTGGATTTCATGTAAATATACAGGCATCAGCAACCAGAGAAGCTAGTCACAGAAATGCCAGTTAATTGCTTGATATAGCGAACTTAACTTCTCTGGGTCTCAATTGTAAAATAAACTCATCAAGATGAGAGTCCATTAATAACATGTCCTATCTAAAGGACGGCTTTGAAAATGGAGACATTCCCTCTGATTTCACCCTCCCTTCCCTGGCTCTCTCTCATCTTCCCATCAACCACTGCTAGAGAACACCTACCACAGCCCATGGCCCAGAAAGCTTCTCACCTTCCTTGGCAAACTCCTGGAGCTTTTCCTTATAGTTCTCCAGCAGATGTATTAAATGTACAGTAGAGTCTGTGATGACCTTGCGGATGCCTGAGAGTTTATCCTTCAACCCTATGTAAACACTAGGGAAGGCGCTGTCGTCAATGTTCTTGAACTTGCAGTACTCCTACAGAATGGGAAATGTCAGAACTTGCTTTAGTTTCTGTGTTTCTTAAATAGGGCTTCTCTCCTCATTATGTCACTTTCTGCGTCTGTAAAATGGGCTAAATAGCAATGTGTCTTTCACAAAGAAAGTATATGTAAAGTGTCCAATTCAGGGTGTAACAAAATAGAAAGCACTTTTCTGTGCGCTAGACCCTTAGAAAAGTGGGCTTTTAAAAGTCTAGATATGGCCGGGTGCAGTGGCTCGCGCCTATAATCCCAGCACTTTGGGAGGCCAAGGTGAGAGGATTGCCTGAGCCCACGGGTTCCAGACCAGCCTGGGCAACTTGGTGAGACCCTTCTCTACAATAAAACAAAAAATTAGCTGGGCGTGGTGGCGCATGCCTGTAGGTTCAGCTACTTGGAAAACTGAGGCGGAAGGATCACCTAAGCCCAGAAGATTGAAGCTGCGGTGGCTGAGAGCGTGCCACCGCACTCTAGCCTAGGTGACAGAGTGAGACTCTGACTCAAAAATAAAATAAAATAAAATGTAAAAGTCTAGATACTAGATGCTCATGAGCAGCTCCAATACACAGCTCAGGCTTATTCAAGAACATTCTTGCTCTGTTTATTCTCTCAGTTCTTTTTCTTTTTTTTTATTTTTACTATTATTACTTTGGGGGGTCTATAATTTAAATGCAAGCCATGTTGGGAATGGAGGAACTGGTTGCAGCATCTGAAGAGCCACAAACAAGTCCTTCAGGCAGGAATACTGCCTTTTCTTTGTCAATATAATCCAGTGAATAATTTTCTGTAATTTTTTTTTTTTGGCAGTGTCTCAGTTTGTCACCCAGGCTGGAGTGCATTTGGCACATCATGGCTTACCACAGTTTCGAGGTCCTGGACTCAAGTAATCCTTCTGCCTCAGGCCTCAGCCTCCTAAGTAGCTAGGACTATAGGTGTGTGCCACCATGCCCGTCTAATTTTTCTATTTTTTTTGTAGAGACAAGGTCTCACTCTGTGGTCCAGGCTGGTCTCAAACTCCTGGTCTCAAGTGATCCTCCCATCTCAGCCTTCCAAAGTGCTGTGATTACAGATGTGAGCCACCATGCCCAGCTAATTTTCTGTAATTCTTGTACTTGTGCTTTAGAGTTTGGAAAGGGTTTTCATACAAATGATCACACTAAGCCACCTAAGTTTCAAAACAATGTGGTAATGGGGGGAGAGGAATATTGCCATCAAGTGTAACATAGTATCACATTTCAGATGTATTTGAAGCATTGAAGAACAGGCTAGATATAGTAGAAAACTTAGTGATGAAAACCACCATGGAAGTACAGACCAGAGAACCTAATAGATGAAAATATAAATAAACATTTTAATATTGTATATAGATTTGGTACTGTACGTGACAAAAGTAGCATTTTAAATTAATAAGGGCAAGGATGAGTTAATAAATGTTGTTGTTTTGACTAGTTAACAATTTTGGGGAAAATGAGTTATGTTTCACCAAAATAAATAAAAGTTATACTGAAATTTATTTTATACATATTAAAGTTTTTATGTTAAAAATAAAGTTACAAAAGGAGAAAACAAAGAGAAATTATTTATATATTCTTTCAGTAAGAGATTTTGGGAGAAACTTGTGACACAGGAAGCCAAATATTTATTCATATTTTCTTGTATTTTCATATTGAAAAGCAAAGAAACTGACAGAAAGAGATATTGTCAGCATTTTTTTAACTGTCTTTCTCTATCTGCTTCTCTTTCTCTCATTCATTAAAAGGTGAACTATGACTGTCTTTGAGTACTGAGATTATGAGTGATTTATCACTACCGCATTTTGTATTTTCCAAGTTTTCTACAATAAGCACTTATGTTTGTTGTCACCAGAAGGGAACTTTTCAAAAATTCAATCGAGAAAAATTATTTGTATCTTGGAATATTAGAGTTTGGAAGGAGCTTTCTAAATTATTTACTCCAACCTGCTTGCTGATAAATGAGAAATGTAATACTCAGAGAGGTTAGGTAACTTCCTAAAAACTACAAAGCTGTTTAGTGACAAATTCAGGATAACAGAATTTACCGCCAACCTAATGTTCTTTCCCTGCAAGATTACATGTTCAGATCTGGCTCTAATGTCATATTGCTCAATGTACAATAATACACTGTGATAAAGAGGTGTATCTCCTCTGCTAAGCCTCCCTCAATTACCCCAGCACACATAGTCCTCCCTGAAAAGCAGCAGGGCTTCAGTCTCATTCCAACCAGGAAAGCCTCCAGACTACCTCCAGAGTGGTTTATAGAACATACTCATCTGTTCTCATCACTCCCCCACCTGAAGTCCTTCGTAGCCAGATGCCTGACCCTGCCAGCCTTAACTCCCATCACTACACACCCAGCATCCTGCGTTCCACCCTTGTGAAAGTACCTTGGCACCCCATGTCAGCTGTGCTTTCTGAAGCCTCTCTGCTTTGCATATGCCATTCCCTCTACCTGGAACATACTACCCCTTGACCCTGACTCTGACTCATCTTCTAGGACCTGCTTCAAGCGTCCCGGCTCTGAGCAGTTCTCCCTCCCTACCCCTTCTGTACTCTGTGAATCCAGATCTTCCTCTCTCTGTTCCCTCAACTCCCTCTGTACCCCATTTATCAAAGAGCAGCTCCATTCACAGGTCTGTCACAGGCCAGAAGAATGAGGTACTCCCATGGTACAGCTGCATGGATGCCTCTGCCTCCCCTCCCACTTCCCATACCTCCAGGAACAGGACAGTGTTGCTGATGGCTGTCATCTTCTCCAGCTCCTGCTTGCTTTTCTCCATCTCTGCACTCCTGTACTCCAGATGGGTCTTGATGCTATTGGCCTGGCTCAGAGCAGCTTGTTCCTTCTCCTCCAAGAAGAGCATCACGTCAGCCTGGGCCTTCCTCACAGCAGCAAGGACTTCCCCAAACTGCGCTTCAGCCACTGCCTTTACCTCTGACACCGACACCTGGCAGGAGTGGGGTGACAGGCAGCCAAGCAGCTGTTAGCAGCGCATCCAGCTTGATCAAAATTAAACATACAGAAACATACGTTTGAGAAACCCATAAATGTGGGAGTGATTTCCTATTGTAAAAGGAAGCCTCTATTCTCATGTGACTTCTGAGCTCCTGGAGGCAAAAATTTACTTGTTAACTTAGTCTCCTCAGCCATTTGATAAGAGAGAGTGAATTACTGTATGACCTCCGAGACCCCTTGCGGCTCGGAAGTCCAGCATCTAATCAACTTTCTGAAATTGGTTTTCCTACCAGGGCAGTGCATGTATTCAGTATATTTGATCATTTTATTTCAAGAGGCAAATTAATAATTCGGCTTTTGGCCAGTGTGGTGGCTCTTGCCTGTAATCCCACCACTTTGAGAGACGGAGATGAGAGAATTGCCTGAGCCCAGGGGTTTGAGACCAGCAGGGGCAACTCGGCGAGACTTCATTTCTACAAGAAATCAAAAGATTAACCAGGCATGGTAGCATATGCCCGTAGTTCTAGATACTTGGAAGGCTTAAGTGGAAAGAACGCCTGAGCCCAGAAGGTCAAGGCTATGGTAGCCGTGATAATGCAACTGCACTCCAGCCTAGGCAACAAAGTGAGACTCTGACCCAAATAATAATAATAGTAACTTATCTTTTGTGTATAAATCAGTATCATTAATTCACTTTCTTAGCATTTCATTATGCCTGGATAAACTGACCATTGAGTCCATCAGAACCAAAAGCACATCTAAGAGTATAGTGTCCCTAACAGGCAGAGTCCCCACAAAATGTTTAGGAGGTGTATAGACAACCACTGTTTAGGAGGTGTGTAGACAACCTCCCAAGCAATTGCTGGACAAGCATATCTGTACCTTCAAATAAAATATCAAACAAAAATCAATGTGAGAAATACTAAGGGTTTGCATGAGGATGCTATGCACGTGGACCTCTTTCACCTGGTGGACAGCCTTTATGAATGCCGTCAATCAATATCATATTCACAGCACCAATCCAAGTTCTAAATGCTTTCCTCTTCTCTTTGGTAGTTCTTAAGTATTAGCGCAGACGGTACCACCTGAGATGAGCAACCATGAGATGTCCAGTTGTAACTCATTACACACGCATTAATCACCTTGTTAAATATCATGTAAAGACCACGGATACAATTTCCTTTTTTTTTTTGCTCAGACTCCCTTCACTCCCCCACAGACCACAACTGCTAATTATCTTGCTAAATTTTATACAACGGTCTTGGATACAATGTCCTTTGCTCAGACTCCCTTCACTCTCAACCACAATCCATGTACACTAATTATCTTGCCAAACTTCATATGCAAGTCTTGGATACAATTTCCTTTGCTCTTCCTCCCTTTGCCCTCACCTTACAACCCAAAGCCCATTCTCTGCCTGCCTCACTTTATTCTATTGTCCCAACCACCCCCATCCTGTCCAAGAGCCTTCTGAATAGCCCCTCCAGGTGTCGTTTTCTCTTCCTTCTCCCAAGATTAAGTGAACATCAATGCTTCAAAAGGAGTCAAAAATAGGTGTCCTCCATGAAGGCTACAGAGGCACCTCCCTCCTCTGGCAGGGGAATGGGGAGAGTGGAAGAAGAATAAGACTCAGACCAAAAAGAGGATCCTGGTAAGGAGAGGACTCAGAAAGAATGAGATTCTAGGCCCAGAATGTGTGGGAGTCTGGAGTTTTGGAGGGAAATGAGAGGGAAAAAATGATAGGAGATCTTCTACCTGGCTGGGGTTCCTGTCTCAAGCCAGGGCTCAGGAACGTAATCCCATGAGAATGGTCTCTAGTCAGTCTTTGATCTGATGGCGAAGGAAGGAATGAGCAGGGGAAAGACAAGGGGCCTTTCTATTGGAAGGAGGTGGTGGGAAGATACAGAGAATCCCTTTACAGTCTCGTTTTTATACCAACTTTTTCATCATCTGTTGGTTCCTTTGAGGTTGAGCAACTGAACAGAGCTGGAAGCAAATAAACTGAGGTAATAGGATAAAGGAAAAGGGCAGAGGGCGGACAGCAGATTTTCTCGAAATTCCTTGAGTCCACACCAAAGAAGAACCTTTAGACAGACAGTGGTGTTGACATGTGAAGGCAGCATTTGGGAAAACCCAGGGGTACCTGTTATGGCTCTCTTTGGAGCCCTGGATATTCAGGACTGGCCCTCATCCTTGGGAGGAGAAACAGGAGAGCCTGAACGGGCTGCTCAGAGAGCACTCAGGTGAGATGGGAATGGGTGGGGACAACAGTGAAGAGGAGACAGGCAGAGAATGGGCTCTGGGTGGGGGACTCGGAGCACTGTCTGAAGAGTGAAGACCTGAGGACCAAGAAAACTACCTGAGTCCCCCAAGTGGCACACCTGCTGCCAGGGGCTCTGCCAGGTGCAGGCTGCACAGCCCCCAACATTTCACCTCTCTCCCTACTCCCACTTGCCTGAGAGCAGCTGCCTGTCTGGTCACTTTTTTAATTTCATAAAATAGTAATGGTGATAACAACCAACATTTAATAAGTTCTTACTATGTGACAGCTGCTCTACATACCTTACTCGTATTTTCTCCTCGCAGCCCTAAAAGGTAGGTACTACTATGGTCCCCATTCCTTAGATAAGGAAACCAAAGCACTGATAAGTGAAGTGATTCATCCAAGATCACATAGCTAAAGTTTGAACCCACACAGTCTGTCTTCAGAGCCCATCCCTTCAACCGTCATTCTACACTGCCTCAGAGTAGGGCCCAAGATGGCGGATCTGTGAGGCTGCAGCACAGCCCTTAACAGGCACAGCCCATCCCCCTCCCTGTGGACACTGAAACACTCATTAGATGATCCAGGAGGTGAGCTTTTGGTCTATGGAGGTTGCAGGGATGGTCTATCAAGTTCAGCTCATTATACTGAAACCTTCCAAGACCAGAGAAGGGACAGGACTTAGCCTCTTGGTCACTGTGGACACCAGTTATGGGTACCTCCTGTACCCATAATGGATTAAACATACAGGCTGCTGCTAAGCAGATGACCAAGAGAAAAAGATGCCAAGCCTCCCCAATAATTCCTGAACCAACTGTCAACAAGTGCTGCCTCCTTGTCATCGTAAATACTGCGAATTCTGAGATAATTCATCATAGTTGGATTTAAATCTAAATGCCAAATTATATTTCCATACTGCAAATAAGATAGTGAAATCTACCTCAAAAGACAAGTGTGTTTTGCTTATAACTGCTTGGAGAGTGTGAGTACTATTGTTGGTGTTTTATCAGGGCTCCACATTAGGAAACACATTCCATCTCCTGACTGACTCACCCTTCCCTGCCCACTCACACTCCAGGTGTCCAGGCTCCATGAGTCACAGAAGCCAGCAGGTGCTCCCTGTCCTGCCCACTCTTGATCACCACCAGAAAGCAGGGGCAGGATGAGGCATGGGAATCAACATGAGGGTGTCATGGAAAAGAAGCAGAATCCATTCACTCTCTATAATTATGACATGTGGGTTATTCATAGAAGCATAATAACATGAGGCTAAGAAGCATGAGTCTAAAGACAAAATTCAGGATCTAAATTCCCCTACTCCACACCCATTGAGGCCACCCTGAGGAGGAATGGTAGAAGGGAGGCCTCAAATGATGCTGACTCCTGCTGTGGCCTCTCATTCCTAAACCTTCCCATTGAGAGATACTTCTGTCATGCACGTACATGGAATGTAAAAAGGAAATCATTTACTGCCCAAGTGATGACAAGTAAATAGTAAAGAGAGGAGGAACCACACACATATCAAAGTAGCCAATAGTTAATGGTTTAAAGATTTGAGGGTGGTATACATGCCTATCAATATACAGGGTCATTCTTAGGTCAAGGAAGAAGTAGTCCCAACTGCTCCTCTTCCATCAACCTAGTGGGCCCTAGACAAGTTTTGTATCTCTCCATGTCTTCATGTCCCTTGTACATGGTGGCTATGATAATAACTATCTCCCTTGGTTACCATGTAATTATGAGAACTCAGTAGCGATTAAAGTGTCTGAAAATTAAAGAGCTGGAAAAATTCAGGATGTTCCATGTAGTTCTCTGGGTTATTGTGAGCCTGGAAATCAACTATCTCTGAAGATATATGAGGCTTTAAAGGGCCTTATAAATTATTTTTCTTTCTCAAATAAAATATCGTGGGTAAAAAAGAGGTTCATCCTTCAGCAACTAGTTAGTTGTAAAGACCCAGCAGGTGGAAATTAAATTAAAATGAATACATGCATTAGAGATGAATGGATGGATGGATGGATAAATGAGTGGATGGATGGATGGATGGATGAATGGATGGATGAATGGATGGAGTCATCTATTCTCAGTATATAAATATGATGCTACTGACTCACTGCCATGAGGTAGGTGCTTTGCATTCTCTTCTGAGTGATGGTTATTGGTTTGCCACTAATGAAAGGAATTTGTAGAACTGCTTAAAGTCTGCTTGGAGACTGCTTACTGCTTGCTTAGAGTCTATTTGGAAAGTGGCCATAAACCAGAGGCTAAAGTTAGGCAGCCTGGCACACCATTGGCCTTCTCGAGTACCATCCACTAATCCTCCAGTTCTCAACTCTTTTTTACAGCTGCCCAGGACATAGGATTGGTTAGACTTCCGTGCACAACACCTTCCCATGATGGCCAAAACCAAGATTATGTATAATTTCTGGAGCTCTGACTAAACTACCTGCCCCACACATGCATATGCACCCTTTTCTCCTGGTCAAGATTTAGTATATGCAGATGTAAAAATAAGAATGCTGCTGTTACAGGATTAGTCTTGATTCTACTCTGTATTACTAAAAAGCAAATCACTGGCCAGTTTTGAAAATTAAGCTAATTTTTTTAACAAATCTTGACAACAATGTGTGGAGCCCCTAGTGTAGCTAACTACACCTACAATTCTCACTTGCTGAGAAACTCCGAGGAACTTATGGACAGGAAGGCTGGACATGCAGTCTCATATCCTACAGCCCCATATGGGCCTGGCTGACCCACACCTGCCTTACCAGAACAGATTTATGGTTAGCTTGGAGCCTGGCGATGGCGTTTTCATTCAACTTGAGTTTCTGCTCCAAATCTAACTGGGTGCGCCGAAGTTCAGCCTAAAAAAAGGAAGGAAAACGTTAAGGAGGAAGGATCCCAGTGCACACAGAAGGTCCCAAGGTAAGGGCACTTTCTACCCCTGAGGTCCCCACCCTTCTTCCCTGAAAAGGAGTGTGACTTCTGAAGCTGATTTCAGAAGTCAGCCTGGAGGTGCAGAGTTGGCTGTGTGCCAGCGCCCTTCTGGGTTGGACTCAGCATGACTCAGCTAAATGCAGTAAGCACATATGCTGTGCTGGTCATCATTTTATGCATTAATATGGGTTGCCTTATTCCCTCCTTACCACATCCATATTAGGTAAAAATTATCATTTCCGTATTATAGGTAATATAATCAAGCCACTTATCCAAGTTCATCAATAGAGTTGAGCCAAGGCCATATGGCTTCAGAATAGCCTCACAATGAGTGTGGGCTTAGAGCCAGATGGCCAGGTGGGGAACTCAGGTATTTTAATGAGCAGTTGGGACTTTGGACAATTTTACTTAGGTATAGGAAAAACTAACTTTCTTATACTCACACTCAACACAGAACACTTTCAAGATTAAAACTTTTTTCCTGACACCAGCTAAGTATTCCTAAAATTTAACTCAATTCTGGTACTATCTATCTGGCGATAGTGTCAGATCCAGGTTAAGGGCTCAGTCCCACAAGACTGCTCCCCCTCCAACTTCAGATGCCAAATGAAAGTCCAGCTGCTTCTGTGTTTTTGACCAACCAGCTATAAATCAGAGATTTCCACAATACCCGCCTCAAGTTTGATTATTTGCTAGAATGGCTTACAAACTTCAGGGAAACACTTTACTTGCATCTACCCATTTGTTATAAAAGGACACAACTCAGGAACAGTCAGATGGAAGAGATGCACAGGGCAAGATGTGCAGGAGAGATGCCTTCTCCAGGGGCACCACCCTCCAAGCACCTCCACATGTTCAGCAATCCAGAGCTCCCCAAATCTGACCTTTTGGATGATTCATTACATCCCTGGCTATTGGCGATCAACTCAACCTTCAGCCCTACTCTCTGCTGTGGAGGTTGGGGGATGAAGCTGAAAGTTCCAGCCCTCTAATCACCAGGTTGGTTCCCCTGATAACCGGCCCCCGGTCTTAGGCTATCCAGAAGCCCCCAGCCACCAGTCATCTAGTATACAAAAGACACTTATCACTTCAGAGATTCCAAGGGTTTTAAGAGCTACATGCCTGACCGGGCATGGCGGCTTATGCCTATAATCCCAGCACTTTGGGAGGCTGAGGTGAGAGGATTGCCTGAGCCCACGGGTTCAAGACCTGCCTAGACAACTTGGCGAGATCTCATCTCTACAATAAATCAAAAAATTAGTCAGTTGTGGTGATGTCTGTAACTCCAGCTACTTAGAAGGCTGAGGCAGAAGAATCACCTGAGCCCAGCAGAACAAGGCTGTGGTGGCCATGAGTGTGCCACTGCACTGGACGACAGACTCCAACTCAAAAAAAAAAAAAAGAAAAGAAAAGAAACAGAGCTGTAAACTGGGCTCGGTGGCTCAGCCTGTAATCCCGTGCTTTGGGAGGCCGAGGGGAGTGAATTGCCTGAGCTCAAGGGTTCAAGACCCGCCTGGAGACCTCATCTCTACAATAAATCAAAAAAATTACCCGGGCGTGGTAGCATGCGCCTGTAGTTCCAGCTACTTGGAAGGCTGAGGCGGAAGGATCGCCAGAGCCCAGCAGGTCGAGGCTGCGGTGGCTGGGAGTGTGCCACTGCACTCCAGCCTGGGCGACAGAATGAGACTTCAAGTCAAAAAAAAAAAAAAACAGCTGTATGCCAGGAAGTGGGGTCTGAAACCAAACATAAATTTCTTATTTTCTTATTTTACAACTTAATATCTCTAAACTTCCATTTCTTCACCTGTGAGATGGAGATCGATAAAATGCCTGCTTTATAAGATTATGAGATAATGGATTGAATGAGGTCCATACATCAATAAGAACTTTGTATAGTAGCAGGCACATTGCAAGTGCTCCACATATGTCAGTGATTGCCATCATCACCATCATCATCCTCGCTACCGTGGCTGCTTTCCATTCCTGTTCTATTTTCACAGGCAGAGCCAGCCCTCCCAACCAAGGCAAGTGCCTGCCCGAAAACTTCAGGTTTCCCTGCTTTAACTCCAACTTTACTTTTGCCTCATGGGATGCGTTGAACATCTTCTGCCAAGAAGTGTGCCAAGGCACAAACTCAAGCCTTTGCAAACTAAGGCCCTGTCACTTTATTATTTCCACAAGGGCAATATAGCCAAAAACAAGCATACAAACAAACAAAAAAACCAGCTCTCAGAGCTTTTAATAGTGTCTGGCTGCATTTAAAGCTGTGAGTCACGATGCCCTAATAGGATTCAGCGGGCATAAATTAAGAGTCTCCATTCTCCTATTGAAGCCCGTTGGAATTTCACACCCCACGGTACACCCAGGGGACTCACCTCTCAAGGACACTCTGCAGAAGGCAGGAAATATTTGCTCAGGTTCCAGGTCCACTAACAGTAGAGCTGAAGAAGTCCCCGTGACCTTTCACTCCAATACCTGAGGCCTGAAACCCAGGATTGAGGAGGAATGTGGGAAAAGATGGGCAGTCTGGCCTACTTGGAGACAATTCTGGAAACGCAATCTACTGAAAAGGTCTACCCAGCGACCCATTCCATGGGAGGTGGCGGGCAGTGGGGGGCATGAACTGCTTGTTTAAAGATGTTGGAAGACACAAGAGAACACACCCTAGCAACAGACTTACACAATGTGGTACCTAAACAGCGCAGACATAAGAATACGTTAAACAATCAGCAACAAAGCCACGGGGAAGTACCCAGAGAGTATCCAAGGACTGAAGGCGCTTCTCTCTGCTGTCTGTGGACTACATAAAAGGAAAAAAAGCATGCTTAAATACATAATAGGGACCTCTCTGAGTGAGTCACCCTAAAGGAAGGCACTCCCAATTAACACAAAAGGTGGTGCCACTTTGGGAAACTCATATCTCCAGTTATTCCTGTCCTAGAAAATGATTGATGCCTTAGACGCTGGCTTCAAGGTTTCTCAAGAAGTCAGGTCAGGGTGGGCACTGCACAAGAGCAGGACAGTGATGCCTATGAGCATAGAGAGCCCTACACTGAAGAGCAGAGAGTGTCCTGCCTACCTCAGCATAATGACAAATGTGCCAAAGGCACAATACTTGAGGTCTGAAGACCTGCCACTTGCTGTCTATATGATCTTTGTCAAATCATTTATCTTTCCCTCTGGTGCAAGACCACATAAATTTTTGTTGTTGTTGTTTTGGGGTTTTTTGGTTTTTTTTTTTAGTTGGAGTCTCACTCTGTCACGCAGACTGGAGTGCAGTGGCACGGCCACCACAGCCTCAAGCTGCTGGGCTCAGGTGATCCTTTCAACTCAGCCTTCTAAATAGCCAGAGCTACAAGCACGCACTATCATGCCCAGCTAACACATAATTAATTATGTTAACAGAACTGGTTTTTCCTTCTGTCTACAGGCAAAGGTGGCACCCAGAGCTTGGTAGTCAGGGGTCAGGCTAGAGGTACAAATAGCAACAGCAGAAAGAGTGGGAAGAGAGAAAAAAAAATCCCAGTTGGTGTCATTCCCTTTATATTCCAACCAAATGAGGTTAACCCTTCTGGAAAAGGCAGCAATAGAGGCCACCTGGACACTGACTCCATTCCTCAGTCAGCTGGTTGAAACCTACTACAAATACCAGTCCAGTCAAATAAGACACAGGCTCCCTGCTCTTGAAATACTTACAGCCTGGAAGAATAAGAAAAAACAAGTTACATAATACTGAGTCCAAGGCACTCCTCAGAATTGCTGGCCACATACCATCCACCTTTTGGCTACCAACAGACTGTGAGAGACACTAATTAACTGCACCCCAAACAAGCACGAATACTTTTGGCTCTCAGATTCTTGGCTCTTGCTCTACATGAAGACTATGCCTGCAGTCAGCATCCCATCCTGAACGATCGGAGACCAAGGCTGAGGTTGAAGGTCATGGCCTGGCACTAGTGGTCTCCAAAGACCCAAGATAAGGCTCAGTTCAGGTCATCCCTCCTTTAGGAACCCTGCCCTGACCTCACTCTCAGGGACAGTTCTTGCCTTTGAATGTGCAGCAGTTGTGTTTTGCCAGCCCCTTGGCACTTCACAGAGCCAGGGTATGTGCCTTGCTTCTTGATTAGAGTCCAAGCTCCCAGAGGGTAGACAGGGCAGCCTAGCACCTAACCCACAGAAAGCACTCAATAATGTGTTTTATTCGCTTGAAGAACAAAAAAGAATCACACATGCTTCGTGGGCTAAAACAAACAGGAATGGCAGTCATAGAAGGAGCCCAAATTTTACAACACACATGGTTTCCTTTCCATGACAGCAAGCCTGAGATTCAGAGAAGGTGAGAGGCGTTAGCAGCCAAAAGGCAGGACCAGCGGCTTTTAAGATCAAAGCAGCTTGGAGATGCTGGGCTATAGTAAGGGCAAAGGAAGTGCTGAGGCCCCATTAGGAAAAGCTAGACTAGACAAAGCAGAAAAAACATGGAACCAACCCAGATGTCCATTGGAAGTAGACTGGATAAAGAAAGTGTGATGGAATACTAAAGCTATAATGAAAAACAAAATCATTCCTTTGCAGCAACATAGATGCAGCTGGAGAACATCATTCTAAACGAACTATCACAGAAACAAAAAACTGAATACTGCATGTTCTCACTCGTGAGTGGGCACTAAACACTGCGTGTGCAGGCACAAAGGCAGGAACAACAGACACTGGACACTACTAAGGGAGGTAGGGAGGGAAGGGGAGTAATGGACACACAACCACCCACTGGGTACCATGTCCACCACTGGGGGAGGAAGGGGCTCACTAGAAGCTTAGACTTCACCTTCACTCAATCTACTCATGTAGCAAATCCTCATAGGTATACCACAACTCCAAAATAAATTGTTATAAATAAATAAAAATTAAAGGGAATAGGAGCAGTGGTTCGTGCCTGCAATTCCAGCACTTTGGGAGGCCGAGGGTGGAGGATTGCTTGAGCCCAGGAGTTCAAGACCAGCCTAGGCAACATAGCAAGATTTCATCTCTACAAAAAAAATTTTTTTTAAATTATGTGGGCATGGCAGTGTGCGCCTGTAGTCCTAGTCCCTCAGGAGGCTGAGGCAGAAGAATTGCCTAAGCCCAAGAGGTCGAGGCTACAGTGAGCCCTGATTGTGCCACTGCACTCCAACCTGGATGACAAAGAAAGACCCTGAGTCAAAAAATTAAAATATATAAATAAATAAAAGGAATAGTTGGATTCTGGAAGCTCAGCAGGATAAAACAAATCATCAGAGAACACCCAGCCCTCAAAGCCCAGAGTTTTTGCCTACTGGCACCACTAGAAACCATGGGATCTTCAGAAAGGGCTCACTTGGTTGGCCGAGAAATGAGTGACTCTGTGAACCCAAGCAGGATCTTGGCTGCTTTGTGTCCTCACGGCTGACCCTGCCATTGGCAGTTTCCTATACACAGCGTGCCTGCCTGAGTGATTAGCCCTTAACACGCCCCAAGGTGACCTTCCGCAAGTAACTCCAGCAGGTTTGGGTCAGCTGAAAGGACTATTGGGCTTCTGGAGCCTTAGTTATATCTAATAATAACACTTTTCAAAAGAATCCTGGAGGAGGTTGTAGCCTCATCAAAGTTCTGCGTTTTCTCGGGTGGTCTCTTGGGCTCCTTGCAAGAAAAGTTTTGGCTCCTAAGATTTGAAGGGGCCACCTAAAGTGTGGCTGCACTTAGAGTAAATCTGCTCTCTTAGATGAAAACAAAGACAAAAAATGGAAAGAACAAGAGCTCTTTTAAGCAGACTAGAAATCAGATGGTTCTGGGGTATGGGGCTGAAGCATTATATCTATAGGCACATTGATTTTTAGCCCAAAAACTGCCCTCAAGACCCTTATTCAGTTGTCCTCATTTTCCCTTGTACAGTGCTCTCCTAGGATGTCCTAATGTGGAGTTCTACACTTACTCTATACAACTCCTCCTGCTCTGAGTTACAATTACCCCAAGACTCTGTAATACACTAGGTGCCCTACATTTAAAATATATGTTTAGGCTGGGCACAGTGGCTCACGCCTATAATCCCAGCACTTTGGGAGGCCAAGGTGAGAGGATTGCCTGAGCCCATGGGTTGGAGACCAGCCTGGGCAACTTGGCAGGACCTCATCTCTACAATAAATCAAAAAACTAGCCAGGAGTGGTGGCATGTGCCTGTAGTTCCAGCTACTTGGAAGACTGAGGGGGAAGGATCGCCTGAGCTCAGCAGATCGAGGCTGTGGTAGCTGGGAGCATGCCACTGTCCTCCAACCTGGGCAAGAGAGTGAGACTCCAACTCAAAAAAAAAAATGTATATTGTATTTGTGCTGGTCCAAGTGCAGGATATTTCTGAAAGGAAACAAGGAAGTATAGATAGTATAGTCTCCAAGGAGAGAAGGGGGAGATGGGGATCCAGGATGGGTTGAGACCCTCTTTAACTAGTAAAACCCCCTGCATTATTTGGTAGATATTATTTCTTGCCATCTTCATGCATCACTTTTCCAGTTAAAAATGATAAAATTCAGATATTATACCCAAAGGGAAAAGCAGTACACTTTGTCTTAATATGTCTAGTATATGTGTAGCAGGATTTTGGTGCAAAAAAAAAAAAAAGCAAAGGTAATATTGTGATTTTGAAGTCTTTTCTTCATGTCCCTCCAGTAGGATGGCTTTCCAGAAGCTTCCATTCCTCACTCTATGACTCAGTCAACTGTATGAGCTTGGACAAGTGTGTGCTGGAGGTAATGAGCCCCTACTTCACAGAGTTATTTGAGGATTGGGTGAGAAAATCCACAAAAAAGCATTTAGCACATGGCAATACTAAAAAAGTTTATTTTCCTCAATTACATGGAGCTTTTCCCTTTGATCTATTTGCTGATTTTCCTGCTCTCCTGACAGGACATTCCCTGACCCTGGAAACACTGGAAACAGTTGCCAAGTGGTTTACCAGGCCAGAAACAGTGACTCATTGGCATCTGGACTACAGAACTTTCCAGAACATCCCACTAGCACTGGATGAAATCTACATCTAGGGATGAGCACAGAGGAGGGGTCCTGGAGGGTTAAACCCCCTTTCCCAGAAACCTCTTTCTTTTGATGGCAGGGAACATTTGCCAAGAAATCACTTCAGGCCTGCCATCCACATGTTGTGAAAATACGGAGATGTCCTGAGTACAAATATAAGGAATGTGGGACAAAAGTCAACCGCACTTCCTTACTGAAAAAAAAAGTACTCAGGGAAAGCCAAAGTAGGAGAAACAAAGCATATAAAGTTACTAAATCAGTTTCCAGGAACTTCTCTAGCCTCTCAGCTTTAGGGCAAAGAAAAGTTACTTGTTCTAGAAGCAGTTTCCTTATCTGATGGAAATAAAATTACAGGCTATGAGCACAGTGTTTCTCAGTCTATCCCGATATCGCTATCCGGTGAGAAGCTTTTATTTTCCCTAAACTATCTTTGACATGATACTCTTATTTTCCCTAAACTATCCTTGACATAAGTTTCAAATTCCATGTTATCTTAGTATTTTTCAAGCTCTTGGATTTCACACCAGTTATCTCCAGAAGGGCTCATTCTATTGGTCTCTTGTTTGGGGTAAAGCAAAAAAGAGAAATTAAAAGAAAGATTTATTCCTTTCTTTTAAATTTCCGCCAAGGTTTGCCTTTCATTAACTGACAGCGGCTATGCCATGCAGACCTAGCAGGAGGGACACATCACTGTCCGAAGTCCCACAACTTCTGCACCCCACCCCCAAATACACATCCCCAAAAGCTATGTGAGAAATAGTGGGAAGCTAGTAAGCAGGAGGAGAGGCAGACACTGACAGAGATAGCACAAAGACAGAGGGACAGGGACACAAGCAGAATGACCTCCTTCGCCAAAGCCAAGTGCAGTAGATATTTACACTGAGAGCAACCAGGTACTAAGGCACTCAGAGCACAGATGTCAACAGACCCAGGAGCTGTGGCACACAGCCGGGCCTCTCCCTGGGCGTGCCAACCCCTACCGCACTCTCCCAGAATGATGGACCCTGAGCACTTGCCTCCTTGTCCCTGCGGGCTGCATCCAGGGAGACAGTGGCATGGTCCCTGTGCTCCTCCTGGCCACACTCCTGGCAGATGCACTGCCCATCAGGGCAGCAGAAGGCAACCAGTGGGCTGTGGTGGTCAGAGCAAGTGCGCAGGTCGCGATCCTTCACTGGCTCGGTCAGCTGGTGGCTGTGCAGTTTGCTGTTCTCCTGGTGCGGCCGCAGGTGCTCTTCACAGTAGTTCACCATGCAGGTCAGACAGGACTTCACCGCTCTCACTCTGCCAGTCCCAAGACAGAAGTCACACAAGATCTCCTCTTCCCCTTCGCCACCAGGAGACCCCTGCTCTACGGAGCTGCCGTCCTGTCCCTCCGTCTCTCCACTGGGCCTCTCCAGGGAGCCTACATCCTCTTCTTCCACAGGGCTGGCCGGCCCACAGTCTGGGCTGAGAGAGGCCAGCGGGTAAGCAGTGGTCCCAGGCAGTGGCCCTGGAGCCATGAGATCCAACTCAGCCATCTGGTAGGTTCTGTGTCTAAGCCCTTCTCTGCCCCTTTGCTCAGGATCCGTGCAGCCCAAGTCAGACAAGAGAACCACGCCCAGTCGACTGCAGTTGCTGCAAGATTTTAACTGTTTCCTCCCTCCCAGAGGAAGCTCGGTTACTCATTACTGTGCCCCAGGCTTGGACGGCAGCCATCTGCAGTGACGACAAGACGGTTAGATTACTCAGGCTCAGGACTGCCTGCTCAGGATGTCTCCTCACCAGCTCAAGCTCCGCCTCAGGTCCAGCCCCCAAACTTTTATTCTTATGTGAATCATGAGTGCCCCATAGGCTCTGCCAAAGACCACGTGTGTCTGTAGCTTCTCTGGGAAGGAATGAAGATTCCTGAGCTCAGCTGCAAGGCTGTGTGACTTTGTGTGGTCTGACAAACGAATTTTTTGTTTGTTTTCCTTTTTAAAAAGATCCAAAATATAAGGACTTCAACAAGAGGGCAGTCATTCATCACTTTCCAACTCACAGAGCTAGACATTAGGCAGCTAGAAATAGGATTCATGTCTCTTGACTCTGACCTTTCCATAGCACCTGCTTGCACATTTCAGGAGAGATTTTTTTTTTTTTTTTTTGAGTTGGAATCTTACTCCGTCGCCCAGACTGGAGTACAGTGGCCGCTCCCGGCCACCGCAGCCTTGACCTGCTGGATTCCGGCGATCCTTCCACCTCAGCCTTCCAAGGAGCTAGAACTACAGGCGAGCGCTACCACGCCTGGCTAATTTTTGATTTATTGTAGAGACAAGGTCTTGCCAAGTTGCCTGGGTGAGTCTAGAACCCGTGGGTTCAGGCAATCCTCTCACCTTGGCCTCCCAAAGTGCTGGGATTACAGGCTTGAGCCACTGCACCCGGCAGGAGATAGATTTCACATAGGTATTCAGTGACGATCAGAAGGGCAGGGAAGACCTTGTCTCCTTCCACAGAGAGCTCCATTCAGATGGCCCTTTCAGACTATACATCCTGCCCCGTAATTCCCAGAGAGGTGCATATGTTAAGAAATAGCTCCTGTGCCCACTTAACAAAATGTTCCTAGACGTAGTACTCTCATTTCAGTGTTTGCCCTCACCGTCAGCCTAATGTTGGAGGAGAGGCCTAACAGGAGATCTCTGGGACATGGGGCAGATCCCTCATGAATGGCTTGGTGCCATTTTCACAACGAGTGAGTTCTCTATCAGTTCCCACCAGAGTTGGTTGTTAAAAAGAGCCTGGAACCCACCCCCCCGACACACACACACACCTTACTTCCTCTCTTGATCTCTTCACACACTGGCTCATCTTTGCCTTCCGCCATGAGTGGAAGCAGCCTGAGGCCCTCACCAACTTGGCAATTGTCTTGCCAAGTTGCCCAGGTTGTCTCGCCAAGTTGCCCAGGTTGGGTTCAGCTGGTGCCATACTTCTTATATAGCCTGCAGAACTGTGAGACAAATATACCTCTTTTCTTTATAAATGACTCAGTCTCAGAAATCCCTTTATAGCAACACACAGTGTGAAAGGATGTAACATGTAGTCAATACAGCCAATGAGCAACCATTTTAACATTGCTCAGTTTTGTCATATTTTTCTAGCAATTCACTTTAACTTACCCTATAATCACTAGCCAAGGACATAACCAGATTCTCAGAGGTAGCTAAACAAGTTATCCTAATCAACCCTTCATGATACAGAATCTATCACCATGGCAGTAGTCATGTGACTAACCCACCCTTTTGCCTGCTGTTCATCACCTGACATCAATACCTGTGCTTACCTGTCCCCTCCATGATGACATGAACCAGAGCACCATCCAATCACCTTGATGACCTTCCCCCATCAAAGGGAAAGTTTAAAAGGATTTGACTCCAAGTGGCCAGACACCATTGCTTTGTTAAACTCTGGCGTGTCCACACTTTGTCCCCCACCCCTACCTTGGGAGTGTGAATCTTTCTCTCTCTCTCACTCTCCATTCACCCTTGCCTTGCTAAGCTATGATCTGTCCATATGTTCTTTAAGCTATGTTCAGGCCATGTTTACCTAAGCTTTGATCTCCTCCCCTATCTTGGGGAGGAGAATCTCCTCTCTCTCTCTCTCTCTCTCTCTCTCT